TATAGATGATCCTATAATTCTGAAATACTCTATTATTTAAACTAAAATCAATTCCAGGTTTATGGCACTACAATAGTGAAGATAGTATAATGATATAAATAGGGATGGGGTCAGTTTGATTACGTAATTTTGAGCGGTTTTTGGAACTGATCAAAATCTCGTGAGTTTCGAACTTATATGAGCCAAAAATCTTATTGGGAATAGAGAAACACTAATATTTTTACAATAAATAAAAAAAAAGAAAATTTATAAGTCAAAACAATTTTTTAATAGCTTTTAAAAATTGAACCGAACCGGTTCCAAACCGGTTCTAAAAACTGGTTCAAAATATGATCAACATCAAAATTATGATGATCATGAACCAACTATTGATTGTTAATCAATCAAAATTTTTTTAATTTATAATCAATATATGTTCGACTTGTGTCTTTAATTTGACACATGTAGCTCATATTTTTCTTAATGGAAACTGACGTAGAACTGATGGCGAACTGAAATGGAACTGAACAAACCGTCCCCATTCCTAGATATAGAGGTGTTTTAGCCGATATTAGTTGAATCAGGATTCTACCTACTACTAAGATATGTCACTAGTAAAAATTTTACTTTTATATAAAACCTTATCTTAGAATTTGCTTAAATTCTATTAGTTAATTAACTAGTTATGTTCCAGCTTATTAGGCCATCATTATAAGCAACTTCGTTAATATTATAATAAAATTATCTGGTATAGTATAATGAATTCTTTAGTATAGATATATTGGTCATACAGATCATGTGACTTGTCAATCTGATTTATTGATTATTCAATTTTATTTTATTACTAAATGTTTTTTTTTAAATCTTTTTTTATAGGAATACTTTCTGAATTTTGAAATAGTTGTTTAAAATGAAAAGTAAGTAAAAACTGGAAGGGTTTTTTATTAATTTCGTTTAAGAATATTAACTAATATTTTTTTTTTATTTATTTTATTGTAGTGAACTTTTTGAACTTTAAAATGAACACCTGGATAAGAAGTAAGCGAGATCAGATTTTTTTTTATTAATTTCATTTAAGAACATTTACTAATATTTTTTTTATTTATTTTATTGTAGTAGACTTTCTGAATTTTGAAATGAACACCTGAAATGAGAAGTAAATAGGAATAGGACAGTAACAGGATCCTGTTTATTTATAAGATAGGTCATCCCCAGGTCTAAAGTAAAAATCATATATAAATTCTTTGCAGATCCTATTATAAAAGGAAATTTTATGTTACATTGTTATGATTTTTTTCCTTTTTAGCTAATTAACCAATAGAATTTAAGAAAAAAGTAAGGTAAAAACTATTAGTAAAGGGCCAATTTTCTACAGTGACCTTTATTATAAGTAAGCGGGATCCTGTAGCTAGGAACTCAATTTTTTTATTAATTTTGTTTAAGAACATTTACTAATATTTTTTTTTCATTTTTTTTTTGCAAGGACGCTTTCTGGTCTTTCTTGACTTCAAAATGGACACCTAAAACAAGAAGTAAGTAGGAACTCAATTTTTTTTTATTAATTTCGTTTAAGAACATTTAAATAACATTCTTTTTTTATTTTTATTATAGGGAATGCTTCCTGAAGTGTTCTTCTACTTTTTTTTGTAGATTTCAGCTTAGAACTTGAAAATGAAATCCAGTGAGTAGTATTTTTAAAGTGGATTTTTAATTTTTTTTATATAAGAATGTTTATTAACTGTCCTTTTTTTGTAGATTTTAATCTGAAAATAATTTAATGCTATTTAACAATAACTTTAAATAAAATGGTCAGAATTATCAATCCTAGAGCTCTGCAACTTGATTTAACAAATCAGATGACCTGACGGCTTGACCTAAAATATTCAGGTCAGGTTATCAAATTTGGTACCTGACCTGACTCGTTGTCCTAACATATATTTGGATCAAATAAATTAAAAAATACTGAAACTAATAATTCTAGTATTTTTGTATATAAAATCAAAAGGAAAACTGCCAGAACTAATGATTCTGGCGTTTTATATGTAAAATTAAAAAAATGCTGAAACTAATAGTTTCAGCATTTGGGTCCTGTGATCACCAGACATTGAAGATAGGGCCTTTATGGCTAAGATGACCTGTTACTAAATGAAGTCTACCTACAGAGTCAAACGATCACTCAATAATGCACACGTGGGGTACTACCAGTATAACGAGTGGTTTGTAGTTTAATTATATTAGAGTAGTTATTAGGGAATTTTACTTTGTATATATTTTCTTTATTTTTTTACTTTAATAANTACGATATTATTGTTTCTTAAAAAAAAAAAAAAAAAAAAAAAAAATAGTTTTAGCATTTTTATATATAAAATTAAAAAAAAATGCTGGAACTAATAATTCTGACGTTTTACATGTAAAATAAAAAAAAAAATGCTAAAACTATCAGTTTTAGTGGTTTGATAGTTTCAGTGTTTTTACATATAAAATCAAACAGAAAAATGCCAAAACTAATGATTCTGGCATTTTTACATGTAAAATTAAAAAAAATGCCAAAACTAATAGTTTTAGTATTTTTATATGTAAAATCAAAAAGAAAATACCAGAACTAATGATTCTGATATTTTTACATATAAAATAAAAAAAATGCTATAACAAATAGTTTCAGCATTTTTATATATAAAAACAAAAACAAAACACTAGATCACTTATTCAGTTTTAGCATGTAAAATTAAAAAGAAAAATGCTGGAACTAATTAAGGTTGCCTGCCAAAACTAAAAAGGAAATTCTGAAAGGTTTCGGCCAATCAAATTAAATGCCGAAAATGCCAAAATTATTTCTCAATCTTAATTTTGGCCAAAATTAAAATTCGGCCAAAATTATGACATTGTGTCATGTGACATTACACCAATTTCCAAAAAGGAAATTTTGTTTTCCAGTAAAATTGGTGAAATCAGTTTCACAAAGGTTACATGAATTTCCAAAAAAAGGAAATTTATAATGTTAATCATTTTTTGGCCAGAATTATACCAATAATTTCGGTCAAATTTCGGACTTTTGGCAATAATTTCGGCATTATAAATTTTGGCAAATTTATTTTTGATTGCCTAAACTTTCAGCTACAAAAAAGTTTCGGCCTTGGCCTAAATTACCTAATTTCGGCAAGCAACCTTAGAACTAATAATTCTGACGTTTTTACATGTAAATTAAAAAGAAAAACACCAAAACTAATGATTCTGGCATTTTTACATGTAAAATTAAAAAAAAATGGCAAAACTAATAGTTTTGGTATTTTTACATGTAAAATTAAAAAGAAAAATACCAGAACTAATGATTCTGATATTTTTACATATAAAATCAAAAAAAAAATGCTGTAACAAATAGTTTCAGCATTTTTATATATAAAAACAAAAGTAAAACATTAGATCACTCATTTAGTTTTAGCATTTTTACATGTAAAATTAAAAAAGAAAAATGCTGGAATTAATGATTCTGACGTTTTTATATGTAAAATCAAAAAAAATGCTAAAACTATCAGTTTCAGCATTTTGATAGTTTCAGTGTTCACACGTCAAATAACCAAAAACAAGCTAAACTATTTGCAAATTTGTATGAACTATTTACAAATAGTATAGGTTAATTCGCAAATAGCCAAAAACAGCCAAGAATAGTTAAGAATAGCTACTGCTTTTCGTGCCATTTTTTTGCCAATTTTTAGCATTTTGACCTGTAGTTTTTACATGTAAAATCAAAAAGAAAAATACCAAAACTAATGATTCTGGCATTTTTACATGTAAAATTGAAAAAAAATGCTAAAACTAATAGTTTTGGTATTTTTACATGTAAAATCAAAAAGAAAAATACTGGAACTAATGATTTTGATGTTTTTACATATAAAATCAAAAAAAAAATGCTGAAACAAATAGTTTCAGCATTTTTATATATAAAAACAAAAAGTAAAATACTAGATCACTCACTCAGACCTGATATTTTTTCAATAAAAATTAAAAAAAAATCATTTTTTTAATTAAAAACGTCGAACCCAATGTTTTTTATATAATTAATAAAAAAATGTTACAAAACATTTTTTACTTGAAATTTAATAATAAAACTTTAGATAACTGAAGTGACCCGAATACTTTTGGATTAATTGGATCAGGCCAGGTCAGAACAGTTTATCTGACCTGATCTGAAAAAAAATTTCATTTTAGGTTAACCAAATAACCTGATCCAACCTGACCTATGCAGAGCTTTAATCAATCCTGATACGATCCTGACATGACAATTTGAATATAAAGTGTGGGTGATATTTAATGTCATACAATATTTAATATATCAATATAATTATAAAATATTTATTAATAGAATTATTTAATTATATTCAATTAAAAGTCGCAAAAATTCTTTATTTTATTGAAAAAAAATTTGTTATAATAATAATTTGGTATAAGAAGGGTCATTTTGTATATGCTATTTGCATTCTTTACTTTGTACTACATTATACAGTAAATAAATAGTAAACTTCATTATATCAAGGTTTTTTTTCATATTTAAAATTGGTATCACACAGATAATCCGTTATATCATATTATTCGCTATATTGAAGTTTGCTGTAGAAAAGAGTGACTGTATATGGATTATGGATATTGAATTTTTATTATGGATACATATCCATGGATAGATGGATATACAGATCCAAACTCTAATTTCTAGCATACCCTTAACAACAAATTACTTTAAATGACATAAAATGGTAATGATCATAATTTAAAATTCATAATTTAACAATTTTACATTAAAAAATATTTCTTAAAAGACTTTTTATAAAGATATTTCTTTATCTGAAAGTATTATATAAAAAAAATGAAAATTTCTAATTATAACCACAGGTGATTTCACCAGTATAAATAAATCACATAATCATGCCAAAGTATCACAGTAAATTTTATTTTTTATTAATAAATTACAATTGAACTAAATTCTAATAACTACCTAAATACAATATTAATTTCTTTCACTAAGAATCTTACACATAAATCATGACTTTCTTGTTATTTCCATTATTATTATTTTCTGAAATACATTGTAACTCCAAATCAATAGTTATTTTTTGCTTCTTATTTTTACTTGCAGTTTTACCTTCACTCAGATATTGATTTGGAGGACGTCCACACCTTCTTGAAGTTACTGGATTAGAACAAACAATATTAGACTTATCATTTCTTTAATGATTGTCACTATTCTCTTTATCGATAGTTTGGTCCTTTTGAAGTAATTCTTGCTGTTTTTCATCTATAAACGTTTGAAATTTCAACAAACATTTCATTTTATACATTTCTAATCATGAGTTAGAATAAAGCTTGTAATTCTCATAATCATCTACACGAAAACTCTCCTTATGATCATCATAATCTGTATTATAAAACTGTGAAAAGCAAGAAAGTATTAGTGATATTTAACAAAGAAATCCATACAATAATCCATATCCTAATATACACCTTAATCCTTACCCTAATCCACACCCTAATCCACACCCTAATCCATACCCTAATCCTTACCCTAATCCACACCCTAATTCATACCCTAATCCTTATCCTAATAATCCACACCCTAATCTACACCCTAATCTATACTCTAATCCATACCCTAATCCACATCCTAATTCACACCCTAATTCTTACCCTAATCCTTATTCTAATCCATACCCTGATCCTTACCCTAATCCTTACCCTAAGTTCTCCATTTAATTTTATGCTTTTTTTGCTCTATTGTTAAACCTTTCATTTCATTTGGACTTAAATGATACTCAACTCTTGTTTTTTATAGGAAAATCCTTCTTGCAAAGCATATCATTTCAGATGACCTTCTAGTACTTCCCATGTCTGAAACTTTGCACCTAAAACCAATATAATATGAAGTTCATTTTCCTCATCACTAGTAGTGGAATTTTCATTAACATATTCACAACAGTCCATTATTAAAATGTATAACAAAAGAAAAGGAGGTAGGTTGACGAAAAGGAAAAAAAATCAAAAAAGGCAATTCGTGAGAAAAAAAGTTTATTAATAGTTTAATCAAATGATGTCATAATAATAATTCACATGATCAGGTGAAATCACCTGTGGTGATGGCTAGTTTTTTTTCAAAAAAAAAAATATATATATATACTGTACATATATGAATTACTTATCTTCAATAATTTGAAATACTTCATAATCATTTGCATTAAAAGTATATGGTAAATCAATTGAATAAGTATGTGAACTACATGTCCAGATACCATTATTATGACACCATAAATCATGACCAGCACCAAATATTGGCCCATAATCTGAATAACTATTTATAGAATATAGTTGACAATCTTTCTTTGGATAACTCACTTTTGAAGTTTGAAGGTTATTTCTATCTGTAAATGAGAAAATAAAACTATCATTTGTTGACTTATAATAATTATCATTATTTAAAATTGGCTTCCAGTCCAATGGATTATATCCTCCAACTATTTTTTCTGAATTTGCAATTTTTGCAATAACTATAGTAGGTCCTTTATTATCACATTTTTCATGGAACACTGCAACTGTATTACCATCTCTACTAGCACGATAAAGTAAATCAAATTTATATGGAATATTTCTTACGTTATAATAAGAACTATTTTTCTTTTCAATCCAACTAGCAAAAATATCAAAATGTTGAGACTTAATAATAACTGAATCATATTCCAATTGTTGTTTAGATCTCTTTAATCTTGATGGTAATGAACTAATAATAATTTTTGTTGTACTATTAGATACTAAATAAAATTGCATGATTTCACCCTTTAGTTTTTTTGATAATAATTCTTCATAAGGAAATACTTTCTCATAATAATCATCAGAAGAAATATCTTGAAATCTAATCAATGGAATTAATCTATGTGTGGTTCGTTTCATTACTTCAATATCATCATTGGTCCATTTTAAAGGATCTTGATCAATATTAGGATTTTGAGCATATGACCATTTTATCAAATTATTCCAAATTTCAATTTCATCTAATGCAATATTTTCTTGTTTGAGAATGAATTCAATCATTTGGGACGATAATTTTAAAAAAGTATTTTCTTCAAACAATAACTCTGGAGTACCGCAAATTATTTCTAAACAATAATTTCTTATAAGTTCAAATGTTTCACTTTGAAAAATATTTTCAAGAAATTTAACCACATTATTTTTGATAAATTCTTCTTGATTATCAATTAAAAATTCTTGAATATGTTTAACAAGTGAATGTAATTCAAATTCGTTTGCCGTTGTTAATAAAGTCACAATATCTGAAGAACTTTCAACACTTAAATTAATCTTTCCACAATATAAGAACCTATTATTAAAATTATTTTAATTTTTTTTTGTATACATTAATTTAAAAATTATTTTGAGATAAATTACCTGAGAATATTTTCCAAAATTTTTGATGGAATATTAGATTTCTTTAAAATGTACCTTCCATTCTCCTTTTCCTTCAAATTAGAACGAAAATAATTTGAATGACAACAGAGAATTATGGAATGAGCATAAATTTCTTGTACGTTTGGTTCTTCTCCCGCTTGTATAATAACGTCATAATTTTCTTTATTTTCAAAAAGTTGTTCAAGATCTTTCATAAGCTCTGGCCAAAATTTTGACTCCATTTCAAATATTTTTTTTTTATTAAAAAAAATTAAAAGGCTAAAAACTTTAATTTATATAGAAATTAATTTTCATTTAATTTGAACACAACCTTAGTACCATATTCCTATTGCGCAGATTGTGTAACTTTAGATTGGTTACTATTCTTCTGTAAATAAATTTCCCGCTATTCTTTTACTAAAATCATAATAATAATTTTAAGAATTCTTTTTTGTTGTAAAGAACATCTTTTTTAATTTGTTGTATGCAGTTTAAAAACTAATAGTCCACGGCATGATAATTATGATTAGTTGGTAAATAGAAGTCATTTTGATTACGAAGATTAATTTTTATTATAAAAAAGTATTTTTTTTTTTTTTCTTCTTTTTACAATTTGTTGAACATCAAAAGTAAGGATGAAATTATCATCCGAAGTCTAACCAATTGTTTATTTAAGCTTATATTAAGTTTTGCCGAATTTGATCTGACGTTGTGACGTTTAACCAATAAACTATTTAATAAAGTATAAAAAAGCTATAAATAAAGCAAAATTTTTTAAATTTCAAATAATTTATTTATGAAACAATATTTCTTATTTTTCTTAAAGCAAATGAATTAATACTATAAAGGGATATTTAAGCCAGAAATGGAGAACAAAAATTTATACGAGCGACTCAGATTATTTAAGAGGTATATGATTTAAAAGGTATATGACATATTGAAATGTAGAATAGAAAGATCCATAATACATACAGTATAACTTATAAATGGATTATCAGAATATCGGTTTTATAGCTCTTAAAATATTAAATTGAAAAAAATATCTTAAAGAATTTCAAACATTTTAAATGGATTAATTGTAGATTGTATTTTTACTATGAATGCATTCATTAGCTTAAATTATTGCATTATAACCTTTCTTGGTTTCAAAATTTTTTTATAATTTTAATAATTATTCCCTATAAAAATAAAAAATTTTATACGTAACATTAATTTATGTAATGGATCAGTATCTATGTAATTTCATTGATTGGCAAGTTGAAAAATTTTGTTTGGAATACTTTTTTATGAGGAAATATTATAATTTCGTAGGCAAACTGGTTTAATTTATAAGTTATAATTCAAATAAAAAAATCTATACTAAATGATAAAACATCTAAGCCTTAACGTTAAGGAAATTGAGTAGATAGTATTTTTAATTTATATTTTTTTAAAAAAGACAGATCGCAAATTATTTCTAAACAATAATTTCAAAAGTTTCACTTTGAAAATATTTTCAAGAAATTTCATAACATTATTTTTGATAATTTTTTCTGATTATCAATTAAAAATTCTTGAATGTGATTAGCAAGTGAATGTAATTCAAATTCATTTGCTGTTTTTAATAGAGCCGAAGCATTTTCAAGACTTAAATTAATCTTTCCACAATATAAAAACCTATTATTAAATTAGTTAAATTAGTTTATTTAGCTTAATTTTTTTGGTTTAAAAATTATTTTGAGATAAATTACCTGATAATATTTTCTAAAATTTCTGGTGGAATATTTGATTTCTTAAAAATGAACTTTCCGTCCTTCTTTTCCCTCAATTTAGAACGAAAATATTTTGATTGACAGCAAAGAATTAAATAATGAGCATAAATTTCCTGTACATTTGGCTCTTCTCCTGCTTGCATAATAACGTCATAGTTTTCTTTTGTTTCGAAAAGTTGTTCAAGATCATTCATAAGCTCCGGCCAAAATTTTGCCATTTCAAATTTTTTTTTTTTTTTAAAAAAAAATTAAAAGACTAAAAAACAATATAAAAAAAAAATGCACGTTTACAAAAAAAAAAAAGCTAAAAAAAACTTAAAATTTATATAGTAATTAATTTTCATTTAATTTGACCAAAAATGTATACAAACAGGTTTGATCAAACTCTCAGCCAATTTAACAAACCTTCCTTTTTTTAGAAATCGGTATCTGAATTTAGTTCAAAAGATTCCATGCGTTCAAACGAATTCCTGATTCTAATATTCTGTTACAGGGCTAGTTATTTCCGCAGATCGTGATGAACTTACAGTTCTTTCCCTGTAAGTTCCTTACAACATTCTGACCAACTCGATGAAAAGAATAGTTTGTCACTAAGTCCTATAATTACTATACTTTGTAAACTAGTTAATAAAGTATAAAAAAAACTAAAAAAACTATAAATAAAGTAAATATAAACAAAAATTTTTAAAATTTCAAAATAATTATATTTATAAATTTAATGCTTCTTTCTTAAGCAATACTATTAAAGGAATAAATATTAAGCACAGAATAAAATGCCTGGATGAAAAACAAAATTTTATACGTTATTCACGTGAGAGGTAAAAAATAACATGGCTCTCGAACTACGTTCATTCTATAGATATTCCATAGTAAAGAAATAATATAAAAACACGTAAAGATAACGCTACTAGAATGTCTTGCAAGCAATTTGATGTACCGTACAGTACACCACTAATAATGAATGAAAAACAAACTTAATAATAAATAAATAGATTCATCATTTTAATCTTTCGTTATGACAAATAATTTTAAGAAAGTATCGTTTCTAATACCGTATAGCGCTGCATACAGTACCCCGGTACTATTCAAGAAAGTCCGCTTAGATTGAATAGTATTCGGTGGAACTATGGTACTATAAAAAGGAGGTACATTGGAACTTTGGAAGGGGGTACTAATCATGTGATAAGTAATCAAAACTCAAAAGAACTTTAACGATTTTTCAATTCAATTTTCAATAAAAATTTCAAAATGTAAATTACCATATGAATCATGTGATTAATAATGGGCGCGTAACGAGCATAGCGGACATGCTCATATCACCTTGCCGATCATTTGCTGATCACTAATTCCGGATTTTAAAAACTTATTGCAAAATCACAAATATTTTTCAAATTATGTGGCAAAAAAATAATGGAAATCTAAGTAAAAACACTAAATTATCATATGACTTTAATTATGTAATTATTAGACAATTTTTAATAATATCATAAAAATATTATTTGTATATGGTAATTCACTAATTATTGCCGATCATCAGACAAAAATTGAAATGCGAAGATGAATATGTGAGTGCGAAACTTAAGAATTTGCACAAATATTCTTTATATTATGTAGAATCTATAAAAAAAATAATGCAGTGATCTGATTCATAATGCAGGTTTTTTATTAGTAACATAATTAGTGAATAATTTCGTAAAATGAATAAATATATGCCAAATAATAATAAAATCTAATGAAATTTAATACACAATAAATTAAAACTAAATTTAAGTTATTTGTGAAATTTGAACATATTAATTATTATGTAGATTTTTTTAGCAACGGTATTTATATTATGTGATAATTGAATAAATGATCGGCAAATGATCGACAAATGATCAGTCAGTATTGTGATAAAATAGGGATGTCCGCTATGCTCGCGTAACGATACTAGTTGATGATTCGTTAATAGTTTCTTTTACAATTAAATATGTATATTTAGTAGTCGGAATATGATTAATATGATTAGTATCCGGGATACTATTCAAAATCGAATTTTGATTATCATAGTACTGGGATATTTTTCAAAAATACTCGAATAATAATACCCCGGTACTATTTGAAGGGGTACTATTACAAGGAGTACTATATGCGCTATACAGTAGTATATGTAACGATTGTAACGTCATTAGTGACGCCGAAATAACTGAAATCTTGTTTTAACATTTATTATTTCATATTTCGAAGTGAAATATGTTCATTCTACTGTTCCTATTAGTAAGCATTAAGAAAAAAAAAATGATGTTTTATTTGGGTTTTTTGATCACCATTATACATTTTGTTCTCAACCAATTGATTTTTAACGTTATTTTTAAAATCATCATGTGTTCTTAGGAATTTTACAGAATTATGAAATTTTTTTTAGGAAAAATACATGATTATAATTTTAAATATTCGTTATTTTTATTATTGAAATGCGGTTAAAATTATAGTATTATCAGTTATTGGTCCGAAGTGTAACGATCTGCGCTATCCGATTTACATATGATTAGTAAAACTACTGTATATTTATTTCACTTTCAACTATAATTGCGAAAATCTTAACAAAAATAAAAAATTCTATACATAACATTTATTTATGTAATGGATCAGTATCTATGTAATTTCATTAATTGGCAGTTGAAAATTTTGTTGAAATACTTTTTTATGAGGAAAAATCATGACACCTTTTTTGGGAGAATATAAAGTTGAGCGTTATTTCAGGAAAAAATAAATTACTTTACTATAAAATACATAATTGCGCATTCAATTATTTATAATTTCGTAGGTAAACTGGTTTAGTAAACCGCAATTGATAGATTTATAAGTCATAATTCAAATAAAGAAACTTATACTAAATATCACGGAAATATCACGGTAACTTAACATATAAGCCTTAAGGAAATTGAGTATACTTTAAATTGGAGTAATCCTGGACAGTACTCTAATTAGATTTTTATTAAACATATATATTTTTTTTTTATTTGAATCAAAGAAATTCATAATATGAACTTAATTTATCATATATAGAACAAAAAAATATATGACTTAATTTTTAACAACTTGAAATACTTCATAATCATTCGCATTGAAATTACGTGGTAAATCAATTGAATAATAAGTACGTGGATTACAACTCCAGGCACCATTATTTTTACACCATAAATCATTGCCATCACCAAATATTGGCCCATAATCTGACATACCAAGTATAGAATCTGTCTCTTATACACATCTAGATGTGTATAAGAGACAGCAGTTAGTATCATTATTATAACACACTAAGTCATGGCCACCACCAAATGTTGGCCTACTTTTGCAGTTTGAAAGTTATTTCTATCTGCAAATGAGAAAATAAAACTATCATTTGTTGGCTTATAATAATTATCATTATTTAAAATCGGCTTCCAGTCCAATGGATTATACCCTCCAATTATTTGTTCCGAATTTGTAATTTTTGCTATAACTATAGTAGATCCTTTATTATCACATATATTATGAAATGCTGCAGCTGTGTTACCATCTCTACTAGCACGATAAAGCAGATTGAAACTATAAGGAATATTTTTTTCGTTATAATAAGAATCATTTTTCTTTTCGATCCAACTAGCAAAAATAGCAAAATGTTGTTTAGTAATTATAACTGAATCACATTTAGATCTCCTTGATGGTAATGAACTAATAATTTTTGTTGCGTTAGATACTAAATAAAATTGCATTATTTCACCTTTTAATTTTTTTGGTAGTAATTCTTCATAAGGGAATACTTTCTCATAATAATCATCAGAAGAAATATCTTGAAATCTAATCAATGGAATTAATCTATGTGTGGTTCGTTTCATCACTTCAATGTCATCATTGGTCCAATTTGAAGGATCTTGATCGATATTAGGATTTTGAGCGTATGCCCATTTTATCAAGTTATTCCAAATTCCGATCTCATCTGATGTAATATTTTCTTGTTTGAGAATGAATTCAATCATTTGAGATGATAATTTTAAAAAAGTATGTTCTTCAAACAATAACTCTGGAGTATCACAAATTATTTCTAAACAATAATTTCGTAAAAGTTCGAAAGTTTCACTTTGAAAAATATTTTCAAGAAATTTCATGGCATTATTTTTGATAAATTCTTTCTGATTATCAATTAAAAATTCTTGAATATATTTAACAAGTGAATGTAATTCAAATTCATTTGTTGTTGTTAATAGAGTCAAAATATCCGAAGCACTTTCAAGACTTAAATTAATCTTTCCACAATATAAAAACCTATTATTAAATTAATTAAATTAGTTTATTTTTAGCATAATTTTTTTAGTTTAAAATTATTTTGAGATAAATTACCTGATAATATTTTCTAAAATTTTTGGTGGAATATTTGATTTCTTAAAAATGAACTTTCCGTCCTTCTTTTCCTTCAAATTAGAACGAAAATAATTTGATTGACAGCAAAGAATTATAGAATGAGCATAAATTTCTTGTACATTTGGCTCTTCTCCTGCTTGTATAATAACGTCATAGTTTTCTTTTTTTTCGAAAAGTTGTTCAAGACCATTCATAAGCTCCGGCCAAAATTTTGACTCCATTTCAAATATTTTTTTTAAAAAAAATTAAATGATAAAAAATGCGCCCAAAAAAAAAACCAATTTATATAGTCATTTAATTTGACCAAAAATGTATTCTAATATTCTGTTACAGGGCTAGTACCTGTATGGTATTCCCGCAGATCGTGTAACTTTCACCATTACCCGGCGCAATAGATTAGATGAACTTACAATTCTTTCCCTTACAGCATTCTGACAATCAACTCGATGAAAAGAATAGTTTGTTACTAAGTCCTATACTTTGTAAACTAGTTAATAAAGTATAAAAGAAAACTAAAAAAAACTATAAATAAAGTAAATATAAACAAAAATTTTTAAAATTTCAAAATAATTATATTTATAAATTTAATGCTTCTTTCTTAAGCAATACTATTAAATGAATAAATATTAAGAACAGAATAAAATACCTGGATGAAGAACAAAATTTTATACGTTATGCTATGTTGTATCACGTGAGAGGTAAAAAATAACATAGCTCTCGAACTACGTTCATTATATAGATATTCCATAGTAAAGAAATAATATAAAAACACGTAAAGATAACGCTACTAGAATGTCTTATTCGTTTTAACAAGAATAAATAAATATCGTTTCTAATAGTATATGTAACGTAGTGACACCGAATCATTTATTATTTTATTGTCAAAACTATAAATGTTTTATTTTAATTTATAGTTATATTTAATAAAAGTGAACAAAATCTTACTATTTTTTATTTTATTTTTATTTTAAAAATTAAGACAATGACGGGTCTGCGGGCTGAGCCCTTACAAAAGGAAAAACTACTTTACCACTATACACGTATAAACTCAACCTCTATGATCGTCTTGTCTGTTATTTATCAAAAATAACGCTAGGCATGACTAGCATTGCAAGTATAAGGTACCAAATTAAAATAGGAAGAAAAGAAAGAAAAAAAAGTTAAAAAATTGACATTATCATCTATGAATTCTCTATAAGTATTGTAATGTATATACGAGGTCCAGCTACCAGAGTGTAAATAATTAGAACCAACCACATCGGAATTGATGAACCCACGGTATCGACACGCGTTGTATTGGTAATATGAAAGGGATTAAGGGATGTACGCGTATAGGCGAATTAGGAGCCAAAGTCGGGGCAGAAGAATTATTGGTCGAGGGTGGACAAAATCTTACTATTTGTTGCTGACTTGGCTAAGTCTTTTAAAAAGCTTGTTGTCACTTGATCACCAACGTTGAAGTTGCAGCAACATTAATACCGAACCATAAACATCATTCTATCTGCTCAGCTCCACAGTACTACTACTGTAGATGCAAACACAAATAAAATGTACCGTATTGTCATATTTCGAAGTGAAGCATGTTCGTTCTACCGTTCCTATTAGTAAGTATTAAAAAAAAAAATGATATTTTATTATTACCATTATAAATTTTGTTCTCAATCAATTAATTTTTAACGTTAATTTAAAATCATCATGTATTCTTAGGAATTTTGCAGAATTATGAAATTATTTTAGGAAAAATACACGATTATAATTTTAAATAAAATTATAATATTAGTACGCTATCCGATTTACATAATGAAACAATATTTTATTTTAATAAAAACAATCTCTTACAACAACTAGAGAATGGCAATTTAAAAATTATTCATTGACCACGTGATGACATATCAATTGCAATCAATGTATTGATACGCGTCTTTGACGTATTCTTAAATAATAATGATTCCTTTACGTTTATGGATGACTGCGGCTTGAATAATTATTATAAACGAATATCTGATTGCCATATTTTCAAGTCATTAATTTAGAGTGAAACGTGGCAAACATACTATAATTGAAATCAATCTTAACGGTTTTACCTGGCTAATAACCGGTCATTAACTAGCTATAACTTTGAATTAACAATTAATGGCTTTCAAATTATGTGAATTCAAAATTTGAAAGTACGTGTTATCGAAAAAAAAAATATTTTTTTTTAAAAAATTTAATATATACATATATTTTTGGACTTTGCTATTGTTTCATCAGGTAATATACAGTTTTTTACTTAATTTACATTAATATTAATTATTAAATTATTTAAATATTAAAATCTTTTTATAAATAATGTAGGAGCTTTGACTATACCCCGAGAAGGTAATTTTTCAATAAGGATTAATATATTTATATGTGAATAATGGATATTGTATAACACTATTTTTTCTTGTGCAGTGAAAATAAACGTCACAGTTCTTATTTTAAAAAAAGGGAAGATTAATGAAGATTGTTATTAAAAGTTATTAAAACATTATAAACGTGACGCTAACGGGTTGTTACACAACACCTTGTCGACTGACAAATCCATTAATACATAAATATAGATAAATACTATGTAAATTTTACCGTTTTAGAATTATCACATTATTAAAAATTTTCATATTAATTTTCATCAAAAATCACTTATTTTTCAAATAATTGTGGTGCAATGTAGAAAACGTGGCAAAATGCTCTCGTACGCCTCCTTACTTCGCGTCATTTACTATTAATAATATGGAAACGTAAAAATTCAATTGTGAATTTTGTACATATTGGAGCGCTAGCGAAGGACATTCTACTGTACTGCATTAGACGATTTTTTGTTAACCCATGCAATTTTCCTTCCTCCATCCACTGACGTCACCCCACATATTAGCCCTTGCTTTTTCACATATCTTATATTATGATATTTTTCGTAATCATTTTTTTTAATAAAAATGATACTGAATAAATAAACGCGACGTACTTTAACGGTTCCCGTTTTCCTGGTATAAAACAGAGCAGATGAAAAACAAAATTTTTTTTTTAAAAAAAAATCGAAAAACAACAGACAAAGAAGCTTAGTTAATCACCATTATAAAATTTGATCTTAATAAATTAACTAATGATAGTAATGATATTTAAATATTTGATATTATCATAATATTTCTGCTCAATATCATGGCTTTAAGCTAATAGAAACATGTTTGGAATATATAATAAACTTAATGAGCTTCAACAAATTACTGATATCTTTAAATAAAATGTATTGTATATATACGGTGATTACAATAAAAAAAATTGGTTCAATAAAAATAATTCTTGCGCTAAGAAATATTCAAAACATAATATTACCCTCACTAATCATAACATAAAGGTTCATAGCTATAGAGTTTTTACGGAAATATGATATGGAGATACTGTATATGGTAATTATAAATGAAATATGAAAAAGAAAGAACTATGTAATATAACATACTTTCTCAATTCGTATCTTATTTATATAAAAATTAGGAAGTATTACATTATATTAAATATTTATAATAAATAAAAATATATTTGTTTTTATGATGCCGGATGTTGGATCAGTTCAGAGCGGGATTGCGATAAATTATTAAATATCAAATAAGCGGGCAACTCAGATTATTTAAAAGGTTCAACTTAATGATATTTCATTGGTGTTATTACGGAGGATGGGAAGCCGCTAACGTGGCTTATTTTCAGTCAATAATTTACCTTCCATAAGTAACTATTCATTCTTTCTCATCGGATAATAAATCTTTAAGGAAATTTAATAACCGGAATACTAATATTAATAGTGAATTAAAAGATTCAATAAAATTTATTAAAAATTACGGGTTGTATTTATTATTCATTTTAAAAAAATTATATACAGTACGTATAAATATTAATGAATCACACAATACTTTAGAAAGGTATATAGCAAAATCTAACTAATGGATATTTCCATCATTGCAAATTCATTTTTGTTCCATTATCAATAACAGATACTGTTTAGTATTTACACTTCAAATAAAATTTCCCAAGATCATCTCACGTTAGAATCACAGTTCCGTTTAGTTCGGTATAGTGAATTCGTTATACCGAACTTCTGGATATTTTAGGCCAAATTTGTAGTGCTAGCCAGAATTATAATTTCGTTTTACTTGATAATCCCGGCCGGCACTATAAATTTGGCCTGGGTTAGTATAGTCACATGACTGTTCGTTATATAATATTATATGGCTAATATATATGGGTTGGTTCGGATGCGTTATATAGTGTTTATTATAAAAGTTCGGTATATCCAGTGAAATTATTTATAAAAAATCGGTTCCGAAAATTCCGGTTCGGTATAACGAGATTTCGGTACTATAAAAAATTTAGTTTTTTTAAATAAGGATTATCGCAAAATTTGTATATCAAAAGTTATATTTTTGATTAATTTGATAATTTCAATAATTCATAAAATATTTTGTAACTAAATGGAAAATTTACAAGGTTATAATTTATTTAAGTCGACACTCCTATAATACATATAACTTTACAAAATGAAATTTCTATTTTTAAAATATTATATTGTGATGAATCGAGGAAATTCATCCATAAAAAGCTAAAGCTAAATATTTAATACAGTTATTTAATTATCATATATAGAACAAAAAAAAAATATATATGACTGACTTAATATTTAATAATAACTTGAAATACTTCATAATTATTCGCCTTGAAATTATGTGGTAAATCCATTGAATAAGTATGTTGTGGATTACATGTCCAGGTACCATTATTTTTACACAATAAATCATGACCACCACCAAATATTGGCCCATAACTTGAATGACTATATATAGAAAAATATTGATGATTTTCTTTCGGATAACTTACTATTGCAGTTTGGGGGTTATTTCTATCTGCAAATGAGAAAATAAAACTATCATTTGTTAACTTATAATAATTATTGTCCTTATTTAAAATCGGCCTCCAGTCCAATGGATTATACCCTCCAATTATTTGTTCCGAATTTGCAACTTTTGCTATAACTATAGTAGGTCCTTTATTATCACATAGATTATGGAATGCTGCACCTGAGATACCATCTCTACTAGCACGATAAATTAAGTTAAATTTATATGGAATATTTTGTGTGTTATAATAAGAACTATTTTTCTTTTCGATCCAACTGGCAAAAATAGCAAAAATTTGAGATTCAGTAATTGTAACTGAATATTTAGATTTCCTTGATGGTAATGTACTAACAATTTTTGTGTTAGGTACTAAATAAAATTGTATGATTTCATTTAGTAATTTTCTTGGTAGTAATGCAAGATAAGGAAATACTTTTTTATGGTAAATAACGGAAGAAATATCTTGAAATCTAATCAATGGAATTAATCTCTCTGTGGTTTGTTTCATTACTTCAATTTCATCATTGGTCCAATCTTCAGGATCCTGATCAATTTCTGGATTTTGAGCATATGCCCATTTTATCAAATAATCCCAAATTTCAATTTCATCTAATGTGATTTTATCTTGTTTAAGAATGAATTCAACCATTTGGGATGATAATGTTAAAAAAATATCATTTTCAAACAATAATTCTGGACTTTCACAAATTATTTCTAAACAATAATTTCTTATTACTTCAAAATTCTCATTTTGGAAAGTGTTATCAAAAAATTCAAGAGCATTATCTTTGATAAATTCTTTTTGATTACTATCAATTAAAAACTCTTGAATATGTAAAACAAGTGAATGTAATTCAAATTCATTCGCTATTTTTAATAAGTTGAAAATATCTGAAACACTATCTTCTTCAACATTTAATTCAATCTTTCCACAATATAGAAACCTATTATTAAATTAAAAAAAGTTTATTTTGGGCTTAGTTTTTTTTTTACATAAATTTTTAAAGTTATCAAGTTTTAAAAAATTATTTTTGAAATAGTAATAAATTACCTGAAAATATTTTCTAAAATTTTCACTGGAGTATTAAATTTTTTATAAAAATACTTTCCGTTCTTCTTTTTCCTTAAATTAGAACGAAAATAAGTTGATTGACAACAGAGAATTATGGAATGAACATAAATTTTGTTATCTCCCGTTTGTATAACCACGTCATAATTCTCTTTATTATTAAAAAGTTGTTCAAGTCCACTCATAAGTTCCGGCCAAAATTTTGTTCCCATTTCGTGTGTTAATAATATGAATATGTAAATTAAATTATTATTATTAATTTTATTAATTTTATTAAAATATTTTGAAAATACTTTTTTTTTTATTAAAAAAAAAAAGCGGCTAAAAAACTTTAATTTATATATAGTAATTAATTTTCATTTAATTTGACCAAAAATGTAGACAACAGGTTTGATCAATTTGTAATTAAGCGGATATTCCGCTGGAATTAGTGTTCAAAATTCAAAAGTTAGCACAGAACACATGATTATTATTAGTAATGTGAGCAATATTGAAAATCATATGCGCTATATGTGTGTGCAGTGTGCACGCCAAATGTCACATGTTTATTAAAAAAATATGAACTTTATTATCAAATCCAATACTTTCATAGGAACTAAGTTCTAATGACTAACCATTAACGGCTTAACACTTATCATTATTAATCAATTTTCAAATCCGAACCCCATTTTTGTGCGCAAATTTAAAGTGATGTGTGGAGCGCACATTCCCGCACATCCAATTTGACCCACTGCTCCACTATATGATAAAAAAAAACGTACAAATTAAATTCAAATAAATCAATTTTTTTTTTTATCTAAGAAATTCGTTTGATAGCGGATGTTCCCATTGATAATGATAAAATTTATATTAAATCGTGAAATCATTAGTATCCTAAAACTGCCTAAACCGTAATCATGATGTAATTATGTTAGATCCAAACTTTATAAATCAAAAATAAAAAATAAACAGGGTTCATTACGCCACATAATCGTTAAAGGAGTAATCCAAGAAATACTCAAAAGAAAATATAAATCGTTACTCACGTTACTTAAACAAGTAAATCTCGTTTCTAAAAGCATAAAAGAAAAATGCTTGATATAAGATTTGTGTCACCTTACAGATTTCTTAATTTTTTCATCTTTTTGTATTACTATTTCGAAAAAGAGAGAAAAAGTAAATTTATTCATCGTATTTTATTTAGGACTCAAGGAATCGTATTGGCGTTCAATACCACGGGTGTTATGGTACATCCGCCATTCTGCCGCCCAATTCTAATGATAACGGTGTGGGCTATGTTTGTTATGGGCGCATTACATCATGAAGACAGCTCCCTTCGAGGGGATGAGTTTCAGAAACAAGAAAGAATACCTTGGCGAAATGTTGATTATTCTGGCCGAAAAAGTCACTATGATGGAACCGAACTCGCTAAGCGCCCATCAGCGCTGAATTTAACGATTTCGGTAAAAATGAACTATTCATGTTCGGAGCCGAGAGAGATCAACAAGTCAATAGCAATGTCGAAAGTAGAGATGATGGCGGGAATCAAATGGTGCAGGTTAAAATGTTCGTGAATATTCAAGAAATTATCTCAAAATTGGGGCCATTGCGCAGAGTTGGTACTCTTGAGGGCACTACATGGACAAAGAAGAGCCCTGTTGACTGAGATTGATACTTCTATGTGTATTGTGCGAACGTGTGATGAAAACAATGAAACGAATGGGCTTTGCAGAAAGAGTCGACCCATGGTAGTTGACACAATTATTAAATCCAATCGTAACTCAGTAGCAACCTCACTTGGACATGAGCTCCAAGGTCAATATCAAGACGATGATATTGATTATGTGAAAGAAAGTTCTTGTATATTATATTGAAGAAGTTAGGGATTATGGGTTTGAACATATCATTGCCATTGGAGAGAGAGCGCTACATTGGACTTCTTTTTATGGACCGCTTCGGCCGCTTGTTTGACTTGGATGCTATGAACAGCCTGTTATGGTTACGTGGTGATTATTCTAAAATAGCGGAAAGAGAGGCAAAGGGACTTACGAATAACTGGGGAGCGTCATGGATTATTGTAGAGTTGTTGTTAAGCTAAGAGTAGTATGTGCGAATTTTGCACATATTTTTTTTTATATATATCTTCAATTTTTATTATATCTATTTCTTCTAGATACACCATATGATCACTATAACTTTCCCGTTGAAAATACCAAAAAGAAGCCTCAAAGAAAAGTTCAAGAAAGAAACGTCATCACTTTGGATTTCTTGATTGTGTTAGCGTGTACTTTTAATTTTTTTTTACGATAATATGATGATCAGATGATGCTAAGAATACAAAATCAAAACTTTTTACGATATTGAGAATAGATATGTAAAAAACGATTTATATTTTATAAGAACATATTTTATTTTTTTTTTCCGAGTACGATATAACTAAGCTGTATTTTTCTAGAGCGAATAACCTTATATTAATTAATAATTAATTATCTTTAGCTAATTGTAATCAATAAAAATGACAATCAATCTTTAATAGCAAAAAAAATAATAAATCGAATATTAACCATAACATGTCAATCCCGTTTTACACGTACCTGAACGAATCATTTTTATAAAAAAAGATGTTTTGCCATATAGAACTACTAATATTGACAGAAAATATACATGATATCTCAACTAAATAATCTCAAGAATTATTAGAATTATTTCGAATATATTTGCTAAATTGCCTCTAAATATACTATCATCATAAAGTATCACAAACTACGTTATTTCAACGGCAAATTTATTTTTTTTGTTTATTCCCAACAATACTAACGTAAAAATCGCGAGTACAATAGAGCCATAAGGGAAAAGTCTATGCTGTAAGTATTTATAGTAAAAATTCATATGTTATAATAGTGCAGAAACTTTGAAATTTTGCAATTGATTTGCGTTGTTGAAGATTCGCTATGTTGAAAAGTATTAAAATTCTTTATAACATATTAACTAATTAATTAATTGGTGGTTAAAGGCCCAGTAGTTAAAGTTTTTTTGTTTGTTCCAAACTCTAATTTACTGTCACTTTTAGCCTCCACCGGTCACCGCTGTTAAACTTAGAAGGAACGCTTCAGAAAAAATAAGAATGTTTAGAAAACAAAAATGTGATTTGGTGTCGGCATTTCATTATTTTAATAAAAGAAAAAAAAAGCGTAAATTTTTTTTGGGTGGGACGTTTATTTACAATTTTAATCAGTTACAGATAAACAGATATGCATAAATTTGATTTACAAAAATCCGAGTATATAAACAGATATGCATAAATTTGACTGATCTCAGATCTTTCTTTTTATTATGTCATGTTCTATGAAAGCAATAGATTTGATGAAACTAAATTTTTAAAAATCATCGTTTATAATGTAGGTATATTTATGGCGGTGTCCTTTCATTGAATAAACTAGACGCTTCAGATGTTCTTAAGGTCTAACTAGTAGCAGATGAGTTTCTTCTTCAAGAACTAATTGATTATTTACAAAATTATTTAACTGAAAATGAATCCCAATGGATGGAACAACGTTTTGAACTTGTTCATAGAACAAGCTTTCAATTTACTTCTCTAACAGTAATTTTGTACGAACTTGATGGCAAGATCTCCGGATAAAATATTTAAATCGCTTGATTTCACGTCAACTTTAGTTCAACTTATTAAAAGTGATGATTTACAAAATGATATATATGAAGAAATTGAAGTTTACTTTATAACATTGCTAACCATTTGCCAGATTTTTTTTTAGTCCGAAGTGCAACGAAGCTACTACTGTCCGTCCAGCACGTGACGATGTACAATAACAATCAATCATATGAATAAAAGTTACTTACCAACGCGAAAAAAATTAAAAAAATTGCAAATAATAATTCTAATAATCCCCTATGACATGATGTAGATTTCGTCATGAGTAATTGAGTATATAATTTAAATTATATAGATATGTCTCAATACCAATCTTTTCAGGCTTTCTTTATCTTCTTTTTTTTCGTCTTCTTTTTCTTTTTTTAGGTCTATCTTCTCTCTGTCTAGGTCTTCTCTTTATTAGGTCTTCTCTTAGTTCCTCTTTTCTTTACGTCTTCCTTTAGGTATGTGAGTTGGGAGTGTGGTTTGTGTGTGGATTTGTGTGTGGATTTGTGTGTGGGTGGTGTGTGTGTATTTTTGCGTTTTTGCGTTTTTCCCTTTCCTTCTCGCTCTCCCTTTCCCTCTCGTTTTCCCCTTTTCTCCCGATCAATGTTGCTGCACCTCAATGGTGATCAGGTGACAACAAGTTTTTTTAAAAGACTTGGCTAAGTCAGCAACAAATAATAATTACATATTACATAAGCCATAAATCAATTTGTTCACTTTATTAATTTATTAAATTGATTTCATATAAACATAACTAAATAATAATTTAATATATCTAATTTTTTTTAAGACCATTTGATTTTAAATTATTGTGCAAAGTTTTTTCATGATAACATATTTAATTCGATAGTGAATCTGCAGATATAAATTGTATCATCCAATGGAATATCTAAAGTTTACTAGTAACGTTGATCAAAACCTACATTTTGGTCAATTAATGAGAATCTCTTTTACATTTTGGTTAATTAATGACCTGTTTTTACATTTTGGAAAATCAATGGCCTATTTTTACATTTTGGTCAATTAATGATTAATTATTATATAAATTTGCCTTTAAAAATTTTTTTTTTTTTTTAAAAAAAAAAAAAGAAAATGGAGTCAAAATTTTGGCCGGAACTTATGAAAGATCTTGAACAACTTTTTGAAAAAAAAGAAAATTATGACGTTATTGTACAAGTGGGAGAAGAACCAAATGTACAAGAAATTTATGCTCATTCCATAATTCTCTGCTGTCATTCAAATTATTTTCGTTCTAATTTGAAAGAAAAGAAGGACGGAAAATTCATTTTTAAGAAATCTAATGTTCCATCAAAAATCTTGGAAAATATTTTTAGGTAATTTATTTCAAAATAATTTTTAAACTAATATAATGCAAAAAAAAATTAAGCTAAAATAAATTAATCTAATAATAGATTTTTATATTGTGGGAAGATTGATTTAAGTGTTGAAAGTGCTTCAGATATTGTGACTTTATTAACAATGGCAAATGAATTCGAATTACATTCACTTGTTAAATATATTCAAGAATTTTTAATTGATAATCAGAAAGAATTTATCAAAAATAATGCGATTAAATTTCTTGAAAATATTTTTCAAAGTGAAACTTTTGAACTTATAAGAAATTATTGTTTAAAAATAACTTATGATACTCCAGAGTTATTATTTGAAAAAAATACTTTTTTAAGATCGTCATCCCAAATGATCGAATTCATTCTCAAACAAGAAAATATTGCATTAGATGAAATTGAAATTTGGAATAATTTGATAAAATGGTCATATGCTCAAAATCCTGATATTGATCAAGATCCTTCAAAGTGGACCAATGATGATATTGAAGTAATGAAACGAACCACACATAGATTAATTCCATTAATTAGATTCCAAGATATTTCTTCTGATGATTATTATGAGAAAGTATTTCCTTATGAAGAATTACTACCAAAAAAACTGAAGGGTGAAATCATGCAATTTTATTTAGTATCTAATAACATAACAAAAATTATTAGCTCATTACCATCAAGATCAAGAAGACCTAAACGACAATTGGGGTATAATTCAGTTATTATTACTAAGTCTCAACATTTTGATATTTTTGCTAGTTGGATCGAAAAGAAAAATAGTTCTTATTATAACGTAAGAAATATTCCATATAAATTCAATTTACTTTATCGTGCTAGTAGAGATGGTAACACAGCTGCAGCATTCCATAATCTATGTGATAATAAAGGACCTACAATACTTATAGCAAAAATTACAAATTCAGAACAAATAGTTGGAGGGTATAATCCATTGGACTGGAAGCCGATTTTAAATAATGATAATTATTATAAGCCAACAAATGATAGTTTTATTTTCTCATTTGCAGATAGAAATAACTTTCAAACTGCAAAAGTAAGTTATCCGAAAGAAGATCAACAACAATATTCTATACTTGGTATGTCAGATTATGGGCCTATATTTGGTTTTGGCTTTGATTTATGGTGTTAAAATAATGGTGCCTGGTGTTGTAATCCACGTACTTATTATTCAATTGATTTACCACGTAATTTCAATGCGAATGATTATGAAGTATTTCAAGTTGTTAAAAATTAAGTCATATATTTTTTTGTTCTATATATGATAAATTAAGTTCATATTATGAATTTCTTTGATTCAAATNTATGAAGTATTTCAAGTTGTTAAAAATTAAGTCATATATTTTTTTGTTCTATATATGATAAATTAAGTTCATATTATGAATTTCTTTGATTCAAATAAAAAAAAATATATATGTTTAATAAAAATCTAATTAGAGTACTGTCCAGGATTGGATCAACAACTCATCTTTAACCAAACGAAATTTAATAATTGATTAAATGTACTTGTAACTAAGCGAAATATTGAAGAATTAAATATTAGTTTTCCAGTTCTTAAATATATTAAATATACTTAATTTCCTTAAAGTAAAAGCTATTCTCAAATCTGATTTGCGGAAATTCAGTATTAATTTTCTTTATTTTAATTATAATTTGTAAAATCAATCTAATCAACTGTGTTTTATTAAACTAACTAATTTTAAGTTGCAAATTTTTTGGCCTTTTTTTCAATATGCTTGCAAAATTGTGAATATTTGAATGCGCAACTACGTCATTTTATAACATCTGACGTTCAGAAATGTGAGATGAATTAAGCTTATTAAAAAGAATTTCTAACGAGATTTTTAATTGCGAGATATTTATCCATTATTTAAATTAGATCACACATATAAATTCTTTATTTTCATTAGGAAATTATTTTATAATTATAAAAGGATACAATGCAAAAATATGCTCGTGAATATCAAATATAACAAGAATTTTACGGAGGATACTTAAAAAAAAAAAAAATTGATAGTTATTTTCTATTTAAATTTAAATAATCCACCTAAATGTTTAGAAATTCTTTTTAAGGTATTTTTCAATTTAATATTTTAAAACTAAAAAACCAATTTCACTAATATTTCATTTTACAAAGTTATATGTAATATGTATGTAGGAGTGTAAAGTATAACCTTGTAAATTCCCGTATCAATTTAGTTACATATATTCAAAAATTTTTGATATAAAATGTTATATGAATTATTGAAGCTATCAAATTAATCAAAAAGATAACTTTTGATATATTATGTTCAACGAATTTGCAATAAACCAGATTACTTAAAAAATTCAAATTTTTTATTAATAATTTATCTATCTTTGAAGTAATTCTAACGTGAGATTTTTATGTTAGCGAAATTTCTATTTAGGAAATTTTATTAAAGTTGAATTATAAATACTAAACAATATTCTGTTAGATATGGTTGGATATCTGTCATCGAAAAGTAAGGTCAGCAGTGTATGGCTATTAAGTGGGCGAGGAGAAGCTATATTATTATGTCTATCCTTTACAGAAATCTGAATAATATTCCTTGTTGGATTTTTTTTGACTATCTAAATGGGTGAACGAGTCGTTACTCAAAATATAACGTAAAATACTTGTTTATGGATGAAATAATTTCAGAATCAATATTGAGCTTATCGCGTTCAAAAATTAATGATTTTTTCATGTTTTCCTTAAAACAACTAATCAAAAGTTTTTCCGCTAATTGTCATTCATTCGCGTTATGTATCATGTTATTCGTGTCATTTATACCGTAAAACTATTTCTTACGCTTACATCCTTTTATTTCAGTCAAGAAGATTTGCCCCACTGATCAATCAGCGATGGTTTGTGTTCAGCAAACTCGAAGAATTACTTATTCCAATAACGTGTCAAAACAGGTTGCCGAAGATTTTTATCAAAGCGTTCATGATAAAGCCTTCATCATTCATGATACAGAATTGGGTAATGTCGAAATATACTTTTTACAATCAAAAGACTATGATTCGCACAAACGGAAGCGTAACGATCAAGAACAACATTATTTTAATGAGTGGGAGAACCAACAGATAAAAAATTTGGAGGCAGCTATGGAGGAAAAGGATCAGCAAATAAAAAATTTGGAGAAGGATATTGAAAAGGACCAACAAATAAAAAGTTCGGAAGAAAATGAGAAAATTCTGACTCTTGGTCAATTTCATGAACTAGTTGTTATAGTATTTTACGATAATGCTAATAAAAATGATCTTGATTTTAATAATCTAAAAAATGAAATTAAGAGGCTTAAATTGAAGGATAATCTTCTTTATTACGAAAAAGAGTGTGTAAAAGTAATATCGTTCACATGAGAAGGTATGTTCGCATAACTCGCATTAAGTCAATGTGTCTACAACGGAACAGAATATATTTTTTGTTTCACATGTACTAGATTATTGATTGTTACATCTAACATACTTATAATAGTAAATAATGGTATTTCGATATTTCGATCACGAAAATATTTTGATAACAGAATATGGTTATTTAGTGATCACAATACGAAGAAAACAGTGGACATATATTCCTCGATTACAGATGAAGTATTAATGATAATCGAAAGGGAGTGACGAGTAATGTTTTATATCGCAAAAAATAATTTGATCAAACACGTGAAGCGTATCCTTTGGATATAATTGTTTAGATTCGAAAACAAAGGTCATACATTCTGGATATCTCTTTCGATAAAGCTAAAAATAACAAGTATAGTAGTTCTTTTTTTCTGAAGCATAAGTATGTGTTTCCTTACTCTTACTATATGTCCGTTATTGCCTACTATATACGTTATCTATTAACAATATTTACCATTTATCTGTTATCAATAATATTCCATCGACCGCAGCTAATATTTCTTCGTTCGTTAACAACACAGTGAATGATAAGGGTACTAAGAAATGAATTACAGTTTCTGGAGTAACAAGCAATCACAATCTTTCAACGAATCTAATTGGCTTCCCTGTATTTTTCATATACGACGGTAGGGCGAAGTCCAGTTTCACTGGAATAGGGTTTGGCGAAAAAAGTATGATCAACTGTATAATAATTAATTTCCGTGACCACCTTAATTTACTAGTGTATAATTCAACGTAAATAGAGCATTAACTTGAAACCATTATTTCTTATACATGATAAGCTGATAACATTTTTTTATTTAATAGTGTTTCGCAAAATATCGTTGAAATAATCGATGTATTCATGTAACAAAAAACTTAAATACATCAGTAAGTAAATCACGATTCATTAGTATCTAGTATGGCGCATTATCCCATTTGTGTTTCTAAGTACTTTTGAAAACATACTCCGCCACGTGAACTCGTCATTTTGAGACCGTGACCCGTGGGGTTTTTTGTTTAACTTTCCTGGCTGCGCCTTAGAACTAATCTGTAAGCTCTATTGAGTAATGAATAAAGTACCGCAAAAATCAACCATCTACGTATTAATACCCTAAGTTTGGATTACGAAAAACCATTATTCCTTTCTTCTTCATTCGAATTCTTATCATTGTCGAATTATTATGTGCCTGTCCCCAACTTTGTGTTTAATTGAGTGGATGATCATCTATTGAAAGATACAATTAATAAAGTCGCTAGAGCTTAATATAATAAACTCGTAACTTGCAATATGTCAGATAATATAACTTACTTCAGAACAAAGAGAATGACAACGCAAAAGGACTCTAGAATATTATTAGAGTCAAGGATGAAAGAGTACTTGATTAATATAATGTGGTCTATATGATAGTAAATCATGTGACTGAAATAATATTCAAACATCAATGATGCGATCCGTTGGATGTACTGATTATAAAAAAAGAATCACCTGTGAGTATTTTAATCAATGAAGCATTACATGGGATTATAAAAATTCACCTCAATATAATAGCTTGAATTTTGGACGCGTGCTGAGGATCCAACAAGTGATAATTCTTCACGAACATGTACGTGCTCAATGTTTACTGCATATTGATCATGGTCTCGTTCAAAATATCAAAATTGACTACAACACCCATAAACGAGCCAACGTCCAATATCTCCTCACTAAATTCCCAAAAAAACCCATGAATCATTATACAAAGTAATGATCATAGTTGAAAATTTTTTCTGATTTTTTCGTTACTATATATCGTAATTGTTTATAAATAAACAGGAAAAAAATAACAATCAGGCTCGTTATTGTTATTACTTATTATATAGATAATATTCTTTTTTTCTTATTACATTAGTTAAAATTTTTGTTAGTAAACAAATCTATTATCTTTGAAGTTACTATTGAAGAAACATTTGAATTGAAAAGAGGATGGATGTTAAAAAGTAATCAGAAATCAGTAAAACGGATGATAAAAACAGTGAAATCTTACACTGAGGGCAACTTTATAGTAGGTAATATGAACAGAATAGATCGTATGACGGCAAAGAATATGGTAGAACAACTTTCTAATATGGGCGAAATTCAAGCTGAAGGCGTTTCTGAATTAACAAAAGTTGCAAGCTGGATCACATGAAGACATTCAGCAATGGAGAAAGTAGCAAAAGGAAACAATACAGTCAGAAATCTTCAAGAAATGGCGAAATCTAGTAGTGAAAAATCGCAGTAGTTGTGAACGTGATATAAATAGTAATAGTGAGCAGGTAGCAAACCGGCAGAAAAGATATGATTTTAAAAAGAATAATAACGGCTAGTATTCACAAAAATTTGAAATTTATATATATTAAACCACTAAATCTCGTTTCAAATATAGGATAGAGTTTTTTTTTTTGATTTATTGTTTTGGCCCTTTGTGCATCGATCTTTACAAGTCGTACATAAATCACATGATAATTTGGCATCTGTTAAATTCGTTGATCGCCCCATCAAATTGGTCTGACCGATTCATTCACGTATTGGCGAATTTATTCTTTTAAATAATGGCAACAACTATATCAGGGAATAACTCTAGAAGAATGGGACGCAAAGCTAAACTTACAGAATTATAAAATTACAAGATACTTTCACAGAGTTACCTCCTGAAGAAGTAAGAATTAATTAATTCAATTAGCAAAAAAATTTAATGCACAATTCAAATATCGATTTTTTAAATAGATTTTTTAGGTGATCTTGGTCCAGGAACTCCATAACGTACAATATCACCTACACCGTTCCCCGTCAAAGATAACCTCAAATAAACAACTTATTCTCGCTAGAGTATTTCACCATCACGATCCATCACAAATCTTTTAGCAGCTGAATTTCGGCAGATGAAGCAGTTGCAGCATCAGCATCTGATGCATCACTTGGAATACCTCACCAGAATGAAGGATGTTTATAGGTAAATAAATATTTAATTAGATTAATCTTTATTATATTTAAAAATTTCTTTATAACATAATTTTTTTTTTTATTTATTAGAAATTTTTAACCGTAGTTACAATGCATAGATAGGCTTGTTCTAAATTTTGGAACAAATTGATACTACAGTAAAATTATTTAATGATTTAGATAGTAATTTAAGTTTGTTGAGGAAGGAACAAAAGCTTTACAAGCTGCCTGAAATTATTGGAAGAACAGGTTTAACTTAATCATTGCTAAAACAAAGTTTAATAAATGTTTTATTTCATTTATTTACTATTTACAATTAAACAATTATATATAGGAATGAAATAGGAATGGAAAAGGTTCACAGTTGAGCGGTGTGAGTCGGTTCGTTCCTTTCGGTTCGGTACGAATCGGTTCTGATAAAATTTTGATATGAACTGACGCTGAACTGACCAGGAACCGATTATGGAACTGAACCGGTTCATCCGATTCGAAATGGCTCAAGTCGTTCCGTTCAATAGTATCGTTCAGAACCAATCCCCATCCTGATAAAGAATAACCTCTAGATGAACGTTTGAAATATATGCAAACCAATGTAAGAAAGTATTATTTTAAATATGTTTTTTTACGAGAATTTTATTTTCCTAATATATCAATTTATTAATAACTTATATATAGGGATTCTGAGCTTTATCTTATGAGGTCTAGGCAATATATGACAAGGGGAATGACTAAAATTGAAATGTAATTTATTAGTACAATTAAAGATCTTGGGTTGGAAATAGAAAAAAAAAGAACAATTAGCTGAATACGATGATGATTATTTGTGGATTAGGTTATCAGTATAATGATAACTTTTACTTTTATATAGATCGTGAATTCAACAGTACGGGCAGCTTTATTTTATGTCAAATTTAAAGCTATGGCACCAAATTAAAAGAGTTGGTTAATGAAATCGAGAAAAGATGTTCGCCACATAGAGAGTATGTTAAAACTATAATTCATTAAATTTATCATAATCACCATTTTTTTCTCCGTTTTAACATAATATGGATATTAAATGATTGTTAAAATGCGTACTTTTCAGAGAAATCTTATTCCTGTAGTTTATACAAACATCCAAGAATCAGAACCTACTGGACAGGATACGTGTTATCATTTGTAAGTAAAAAAAAAATTTATTTTTTTTTACAATTATTTTTGATATTTTGTATTTTGATTTATTCTTTTATTTAGGCTCGAGATGGTTATGCATGTATGTTAAATCTTTGCCCAGATGAATATTCGTTATTTTACAATTTTTTTTTTTCAATTGGTGAAGATGGTTTATAGTATGTTATGATATTTGAATTTATTTATCTTAATTTTTTTTAAAACATCAAATATTGATACAAAAAAAAATCTTTTTTTTTATTATAGTGGGAATTTAGAATTTAGATTTGTTATGTAATTAAACGATTATTTAAGGCCCCGGAATAATATTGAAACATTATCTGAATTATCCACTATGCTTCAAGTGCACTTAAATCAGGATTCTGATAAAAATGGAGGTACGGATATGGTCATTGATTAATGTAATTAATTGAATTATTGTCTTTTAGAAAAAGGAGGGACTAGGATTACAATTTAGTTATTTAATTCGTAATGTTCTTCAGGATACGCAACAGCGTTTTGTATTTTGGGTACAACCTTTATTCGTAATGAAATACAAAATTTTGTTCCACGACCAAAAATATATAAAATTATATTATATATATAATGGTTTATAAATTCTTTTTAAGAAATATTATATAGAATTAAAAGAAATTATAAGTATATTATTTAATACTCGGATGTGTGATTATTTCTCCTGTTCATTTGAATCTAAATTTTTAAATCGAAGACTCCTACGGGACCAGCTATTTGAAGAGTGTTGTTACACAGCTTATTATAAAATTACATGTCGAATTATTTATTATTAATATTAACGGACCAATTAAAAACTTGTTTATTCGCTTGGTCAGAATAAAAACCTTACGTCATACGCGTGCGATCAACAAGTCCTCTTTAATCTTTATCGACTTTGCTCTAAGCTGATTTTTGGTAACAAAAACTGAAAACAAAACTATGGACGCAACTAATTTTAATAACGACAAACCTGAAAAGTTTGAATATATGGAAGATGTTAGTCGGGTCATGTCGGTAGCGTCAAGTACTCAATCGCCACAAACTAAAAATTATTTAGCTAAAAAGAGTGGTGGAATACAAGTAATTATTATAAACTTGAAGTGGATTATCATATTTATCATTTTAACGCGTTTATAATAATAATATATCTCGTCTATTAGAAACGTGCGTTCGTACCAACAGTGCCAAATCCTTTCAAATTTTATACTGAAACGCGGGCCAATAACTCTTGTAATAAAGAAAATTCCAAATCACCATTTATTCCTTTAGCTCTCAGTGTGCAACAATTTTTAGAAAATCCAACCAGATTTGATGCTAAGGTATCAGATGATAATACGTTTCAAAAATCAACATCGTGATTTTGAAGCTAACAATCGCAATTTTTCCTTAAAAAAAAAAAGTCTGGTAAAGTACGTTCAAATACCTTAACTGTACCGAAATCTCCGTACTTGCGCACTAAATATAGGTCTAAACCCACTACGTAAGTTATACGTCACTAATTAATTGAAGTTCAAATAAATAAAATAAATACGAAAATCGCTCATAAGCCGGGTAATTAATTATTAATGTATTTGATTATTGTTCAGTATATTACCTACAGAAGAACGCGAAATAAGGGAAATGAGAGGTTATAGATTCAAGGCCAATCCATTAGATCGAAAGGTAATTGTTCGTCTGAGATTTTACGTATAAAACATCGTTACATCGTCTCTTGCTTTAAAATTTAAAGTTTTCTTTTAAAGATCCTTGAAAATAGGAATTTCGGAGTCCCAAAAGTACAAAAGCAAAAGCTGACTGAACCATATTCACCGGACATAACGAAACCTAAGCCACCAAGACCGAAGAGTCCTTCACCACCACATGTCATTAAAGCTAATCCCGTACCCGATTATAAAGAACCATATAGACCGGTGATTGAACACCGGTTAATCGAATTACCAGTGTTTAGTTTACCTGGTGAGGAAATTTCCAAGAGGAAATCACAAGAAATTGAAGAAAGGATTCGTCAAGAAAAAGAGAAAATGGAAAAGATGCGTGAATTTAAAGCGCAACCGCTTCCTACTGGTTCGCCTGATGTATGTAACCATTAAATGTATTGTACGTACTAGAATAAAAATAAATAAAGAATTATTCTAATTATTCTTCTCTTTTGTTTTAATGTTCCAAGTGTCTGCCCACACGTCCTTATTATCCACCAACTCACCCAAAACCATTTGCATTGTTAACTAATGATCGTGGAGAAAAATATCAAAGAGAATTTTATGAGAGAGTGAGAAAAGAGCAGGAATATGTCAAGGAAAATCGATTCCATGCACAACCTCTCCCCAATTTCGAGCCCGAAATTCCTAGAAAACCAGAATGTCCTCCACCAACAGAACCAATTGGTTTTTTCTTTTTTACTGATACTCGTATGGAAGAACGTCATATTTATGACGAACACAGAAGATTCCGAGAGAAGGAAGCTGAGGAACAAAGAATAGCAAAGATCAGGGAGGAAGAGGTAAGATATAAGAACTAATTCATATTATCGATCTTTTTTTTCGATATTTAACTTTTTTTGCATTTATGTTAATTAAAGGTACGCAGTGCGGAGGAAATCCGTCGATTAAGAGCAGATTTAGTTCATCACGCTCAACCTATTCGATATTATTCACCGATAAATATACAACCATCGGATAAAAAACCGACTAGACCAATTTCTCCCATGATCGGTGAAAAACGACTTAAATACATACAAATGTTGGATAATTACGAATACTCTTCTAGAGATTCACTATATGACATAGATAATATAGATGACATCATCAGCAATGTGTCAAATTTGGATTTCCTAAACCAATAGGAACAAGTAGGTAAAGAATAGGTAAAAGGTGAATTGTTTGAAAGGCAATTGTGATTTAATTCTATATAGTATATTACAAGATCTAAATGTAATTTCTAATTGTCCGTTTGCGTCAATTTGTGTCATATCTATAATGTTATCAGAAAAAGGGAGCTATAACTTAGAATAATAATTTAATTTACAAATACGAGATTTCATATTACTATTATTAGAACACTATTGAATATAATTGAGAGTCACAAGTATTGTTTAGAAGATACAAATAAAATTTTCATTATTAAAGTCTATATACAGTGGCTATGATCTATTTAATAAAATATAAAAGATTCAATAATTCAAATAATTTAAGTGGACGCCACTTAAAAACTTATGATCATAAATTTCGGGTTTACCCAAAATTGAAAGAAATTTGTGAAACATTACAACAATTCGGCCTTATTTGCTAATGACATAATTCATGAAAATTCATGAATAGTCATTTCGCCCACTCAAGTGATTGCACTACAGTTGTATTGTTATAAATAAAGTAATTTATGATGATCAAGATAATAAATAGATAACTTTAATAGTTATTTAACGTTGTTTATGACAATAATATTTAGGTATTTCGGTTATAATTATTAAATAAAATAATAATGATGCATTGCGAATTGCCGACATGATGTATTATTACACGGTCAAATGATCACTAATTCTTCTTCAGAATGTAAAGACTAAAAAAAATAGTAATTTAAAAATGTCCAAAATGTCCAACATTATTGATGTCAGAAGAAATTATAAAATAGTCTGTCACACTTTTTTTTTTAAAAAAAAAAAATCAAAGAAATTTTGTTCATTATTATGTAATAGACGATTAACCTTTAGTTAGGATATATAATAAGTTCTAGAAATTGGTCGAGTAATTACGATTAATTACTCGGTATTATCGTATGATGAATTCTAATTGGATAAAAAAAATCATACTAAATAAAAAAAATCTTATTCTTAATAAGGAATTAATATCGTAATTTTGTAAGTTTATTTTTTGCGGGAAAAACATCATCATATTATTATTGACAATTTTTAGTATAGTAAGAACAATAGAAATTTTCTAAATTTCTATACGGAATACTTTTACCCCACAGTACGCTTATTTGTTGATCATAATATAATGGTCAGCCGAATAAATATAAATAGTCGCACAAAAATTATGACCACCCGAATTTTTTTTGTAATGATGTAATGAAGAAATTTCTGATTTTCTCGGTCAATATATAAGGGCCCTTTCTCTCCTCATTCACTTTCCAGCAACAAAAAAACAATTACAAAATATATATATATATATATAAAAAGGACATTTCAAATTTCTTTGAAAAAACAAAAGAATCAACTTTTGAAATTGATTTTTTCCTCATTCACAACAAATATATACAAAAACTCTTTCTCATTTTTCAGAACCAAGCTTTTTAAATTAATTTTTTTTTAAAAAAAAAAAATATTTTCTTTTTTATTTAATATTTTTAATATTTTAAAGAGATGCCTGGTGTAGTCTTACCTGCTCATCAGCATCATTTACCTCTTGTTCAACAACAAATTGTCTCCAAAAGTCATTCAAAAAATGGAAATATTCCTTACGTTCCTCCTGAAATCATTCGCATAATTCTTAATTTATTAAAAGACGACAAGAAAACTCTTGCTGCTTGTTCCTTAGTCAATCATACTTTTAATCTTCATGTTACTCCGATTTTGTATCATTCTGTTTCTTTTTCGTACCCTTTCAATTTTACTTCATTCGCTAATTCTATCATTGATGAATCTCAACGTTCTCAATTGATCCATCATTTGGATCTATCAAGTTTTTCTACCTTTGGCTTACAAAAGAGTAAAAAGAACATGGCTACAATTGAAAAATTTGTTACTCCAAATCTTATTATACAAATTTTAAGATATTGTACAATGTTAGAATCTTTTTCTATTTCGGAATCTTTGGAATCGGCGATAACTCTTGAAGTTTTACAAGTTCTTGCATTCGAATGTAAAAATATTAAAACTATAGACTTTTGTGGATTGTCAAGCAAACAATTTAATTCTGCTCTTACCTCTTTAACAGAAATTATAGGACATGTCAAAATATCTTGTTATTATGAAAATGGAATACCGACATACTCATTTCAAAAAGTAAATTATGTAGCATTACCACATCTTAAACGACTTTCATTTCATGAATGTCCAATTATTTCTGAAACTTCCATAATTACCCTTCTCGCACACTCCCCAAATCTTACTCATCTTGATTTGGGTGGTTGTTCTATTAGTGATTTAACACTTGATTTCCTTGCAACTGAAACTAATATTCCACAAACATTAACACATTTATTATTAGCTAAATGTAAAAACATTTCTTCTGAAAACATTGCTGCTTTAGTAAATGAATGTAAACAATTAGAAGTTCTTAATCTTTATGGTGACAGAGATATTGCCACCGCTATTAGCGAGTATGACCTTATCACGATTTTAACTTCTCCATCCGCTAAAAAATTTAAAAATTTAGATATTGGTTCATCTCACATAACACTAAATGTTTTACATACCATACAAGAAAATTGTTTAGCTTTACAACATCTTGGAATTTCAAAAGCTTGTATTCGATCAATTACTTATATTGATAATCTCTTAAAAGCAACTCCAAATCTTGAATATATAGATCTTACTGGCGTATCATGCATGACACCATTAAATATTGCTAGCTTAGTAAATAATTTACAAAAGGATCATTCACTTCATGTTATTGAAATGAGTGAATCTTTAGTTAATAAACTCGATACTATTAACGGATGGAAAACAAGTAAGAATTATAGTAGAAGGTGCTATTATGCTAAGCAAACACATAGACCGGATAGAGTTCATCCAAGAAAGTTGGATATGGCTGAATATGGGTCAGAAAGTATGAGCAAGATTTTCCAATATTATAGTTTTGATCGTTAAATTTTATTTTTAAACTTTTTAATTTACTATATCAAATTAGTATATTTAGAATAATTAATAATTTGACAATAATTTTTAATTTTAATATTTAATATTTTTATTTTAACATAATTATAATTTGTATATACTTTTGTTCTATTTCTTACATAATACTGTAATAAAAGAATTTATCATATGTGAAAAAATTCATTTTCCACAAAATTTTCTCATGAATTGCGTATAAAATACTGATAATTTAAAGAGTTCCGTTATTCCTTTTATTATTATAAAATTTACAGGTTAATTGTTTTCTCTCAAATCAGCATTTTTAAATTGAACATAATATTCCATCTTTAGTTGAGAGATCATTTAGCTACGTAATACTATTACTTTAAATGGTGATTTTAGATAGTCCGCGACGCAGTAAGACTAATTAATATAATATCGGATCACGAGAACATTTTTTGCCGAAATGTATCACAACGTGGATTAAATGATTATCTAAACTGGGAAGTTATTTATCCTCTTTAATATTAAATTTTTGACATTGTAATTGTGTTATAATAATAATCATAAGATTAAAATGGATAAATATTTTGTTTCACTGAACTTTATTAATTTTGTAAAAGCTTTAACTTAAGCTCAACACTATTTTTGAATTTTTTTTCTTTTTTTTTAGTAGAATGTGCGAAGAAAAATTTTGCTTGGGCTTTTCTTTATTTTTTATACTGATAGCAATTAATTTTTTTCAGGTAAATACTTTCAACCCTGAATTTGCACATAAATATAAATATCTGATGGTATTGTCGATTTAAAGTGGGGACCTAGCGTAGAAGTTGATTTTGACGAAATTTTACGCAACACTGAAGATATTTTTACTAATGTACAATATGATGATTTACCAGGTAAAAATCATTTCACTTAAAGGAATCTATTATATCTCAATTACTTATTCTTGTTTAATCTTCTAATATAGCTTACTCAGAACTTATTGAAAATCGGATAGCAGTTACAAAACTTGCAAATCTTTTGAGCTCAAATATTGTCCTGGACAATTACAAGAAGACTATTTACGATGATCTTATTCGGTTTGACAGTTATCTCAATTTACTCTCGAAGGACCTTGAAACCATTTATGAAAAAGGAAATGAATTCTTCTTAACGTTTGTAAAAAGTGTATCCGAATGGGAAAAGGTTTCAAAAATGGATAAGTATTCTCCCGTATTGTTTAATGCAATGAGAAATGTGTCGCGCGATTTATCTATGACTATCTATATAGCCCAAATTAGAGTAGCAGTTAGTGGAATATATGTCCCATCCAACAAATCTGATTCTTCTCAATGGTTAAATTATTTGGAAATTGACTTGTGGTGTGACATTTCGATTATCAAAGAATGCAAATATGAATTTTCTCGGGTTAAAAATATAGTAAATATAGTAACATACATCAATGAAATTAATTTGGACAATATTTCAAGTCAAATTTGGCGATATTCAAATTATCTAGATTTTATCACGAAAAAACTAGAGAAAGACAACATAATGATAAAATCGAATTTTAGAATTTCCAACAAGTTGGGATCCTTAATTAATAAAATTAAATCCAACCACAACATATTTTTGAAGAGTCAAGATGTTTTCTCAAAATTCAATGACAATAGCTCAGATACTGCAAAAAATGTTGAGCCCAAGATCTTCAAGAGTGAATTTATTGGAGAAAATGAGTGTCGGGCAGAATTCATGACTTATTTTAACAGTCCTCCAGTCATCCAAGGTGCACCTAAAACACAATCATCACCATCTTTACGATCTATTATTATTGGTGCCGATATGTATGTTGACTCATTAACCTTTGAATGGACCGATGATATATCAATTAAATATGGTGGAAATGGTGGTCGTTTAAGCGAATTTAAATTGGAAGAAGGTGAAGTAGTGATGTGGGCCAATATTTACGAGTATACAGGGGGAAAGATTTGTGGACTTGAATTTCGTACAAACAAATGGAAAACTACAGGTATTTTAGGCTGGTCGAACAATTTTCCCACGGCTCTTGAAGCGCCACGTGGATATGAGATAGTCGGTTTCTATGGTAGTTTTGATAAACATATATGTGGTATTGGTATTCTTTATTCAAAGATTGAAATCTAGTAGGAATTTTTTTGAAAGTTAAAAAAATTACAAGCAAGAGGAATATTTAATAGCCTCATATGGTTTATTCAAAATATCCAGAAATATTCATTTCTCTTTTATAAACTTCTAGGATTCGTGTAATATTAATAAAATCAAGTTTTACATTGTAAGTTTTTTGTAAAAACAATCTTTTACGTAATAAAAGAGATACTCCGTATGTAATTTAACGATATTAAAGCTATCAGTTTGAGACAATATTTTCTTTTTATAAATTTGTATTATTCAAACTGATTCACCATCATTAAAACTTGACCCTGATTATTAAATACGTTTTAAAAATTATTTCTCTTATAAAATACGATGTTATATTTTATGTTTATACTTTCATCAAGAATTTATTCTATAATATCTGTTGTTCAGATAATACGCTAGAAGCATGTTTAGAATATATTATTAAACTTTAAAATGTATTGTATACGGTGAATAATTCTTGCGCTAAGCAAATATTCAGAATTCTCAAAACACAATATTACACTCGCTTATATTACCGATCATATAACGAAAATATGATATGGAGATATATAGTAATTATAAATGAAATATGGAAATGGAGAACTATGTAATATACATTATTTATAGAGAATGTAATACAGTATATTAAATATAATAAGCATAGCTTACGAATTAAAATATCTATTCCAATTAATTTTTCTTTGAATATTATATAATTGTTATGTTTCCGATACTAGATAATTTCAGTGCTACATCGCTTTTTCTTGATATCATTATACACCCCAAAAAGGTGTCATGATTTAAAAAACATTGTATGTTGCGTATCCAAATTAATGTCATAAACGACCACCATATTTTCGGCACAGCTTTGGGCAACGTAGTAAAACGTGGCAAACACACACTTATTAGTCTTATACGTTTATACTTCGCAGCCTCAAAATCTTAAGGATTACTGGGCTAATAACCGGTTATTTATCATAGCAAATTAAAAATTTTTTTTTAAGCAAAATTTTCTTAATTTTGACCGAAATACTAGTTAAACAACAATTGGTTGACAGCCTTAACTTGCTGAAGTACGTGGTTTAAATTTTCTTATATAAATGACCAGGGAAAAAATATATTTGAACCAAATTCACGAATAACGTACTAAATTTAAAATATTTGTTATTGATCTTTGCCTTTACTATTGTTTCAGCGGGTAATATACAATTTTACTTAATTTTAATATTAATTAACAAATTATTCAAAATATTAAAATCTTTTTATAAATAATGTAGGAGCTTTGGTCGTAAAACGAGAAGGTAATTTTTCAATAAGGATTAATGTCTTTATATGTGAATAATGGATATTGTATAACATTATTTTTTTTCTTGTACAGTGAAAGATAAACGTCAATATAATGATTATTATCATGATCTTTATGATTATTATGGTTATAATAAATAAGTCATTAGTAATATAGTAATAATATTATAAACGCGACGCTAACCGCTAACGGTTTATAACGAGCACCTTGTAACGCTAAATTAGATTCGACTGATATAAACAAATTTTGTACATAAATTTTTTTGCAATTAATTATTAAAAACTTTAATTTCGCAATTCAATACAGTCTGTCTTTATACTATTTCGCGCAACTTTTAAAAACGGCCATAGTAATTGTGACTTATTCGTAAAACTTTACAATAATATAATTTAATTCTGTAAATCAATAATATTAGAAAATTGTTTTTCGTTTATGAAAAATGGTTAAAATTAATTTACATAAGATTTGGGAGGATATATAATAGATAGTATTATAAATTCGTAACATTTTACATACGAAATTTATATTGTTTATTTATTTAATGGAAAATAATTTTTTAGGATTCAAATGAAGTTTTTTACGACTATTTTAAAGAAAATATTTTTATAAAAAATTAAGATCGGCCGGTTAGTAATGGTTTAACCATATCTGTATATTCTGTTTCTTGCTTTTATTCAATTTATCCTATATACTATCTCTGTAAAGAATTCCTATTTCCTATGAATAGTAAGTATTCTTCTCTAAAGTGTAATATTTTCTTTTAATAAGTGTTAATTGATTTGACATCTATCATAAGGTATAACTGTTCAGTGAAAAATAAAAGGTTTCGTTGATATCAGAAGTCAGAACACTACCGAAGAAGGTGGTATAATGATCAAGGACGAAATTATGGAATCTTTCTAAAGCGGTATACGAAAGAGAAAAGAATGCTAGATATCAAATTTTGTGTTGTATAATCATGAGTTAGTACTGAACTCTGGCAATATTTACTAGAGAAGGATAGAGAGGGAATTTTTCAAAGGAAAACAATTCCAGAATTGTAAGAAATATATGTATTGAATATTCATGTTTGACAGGATTCATCAAGAAATTTGGATAAGGAAACACTAGGTTACGTTTGGTGAAGCTGATCGTGATTCGAATGGTAACGGGTTATGTAGTGTTGTTTGGAGAAATGCGGAATTACTCAAAATTGGAATCGTCAGGAATATGTAAAATATAAAAAATTAAATAAAAAGGAAAATATTGGCGTAACGCGACATAAAAGTCATGACGTGCAATTTTTCCGCGTAGAATTAACAATAGCGATAGTATTCTATTTTGGGATTAGAGTTATACATTTATTTAATTAAGTATTCATTGTTATAATTTTATTATAATTACTGATCAATAAAAATTTATCAAAAAAAAAAAAAAAAAATTACATACAATAATTTCATATTTTTGTTTTGGCTCAGAGACAATAGTATTACAGGTGGAAAATATCGGAGAATTTTTATGCGCCATGCTGCGGCCGGAATTTACCATATATGAATTATTATTACGTCACCAAAAATATCAACGTGTTATTAATAATTCTTATCTTTCTACTGAAAGTTTGCAAACAAAAATCTAAAAACCGAAAATTTTTATAATAAAAAATGTCCAAAAACACTAAAAAATTCCCAATGTTCTCAATGTTGCTTGATGTCGATTCCTATGATGTCCTTATTAAAGATATTAAATCAAACAATTTGCACCAAGAAATATCGAAACAACTTAGAATTAAATACCTATCAAATTCTGCTCAGGAATTAGATGAAGTCGAAGGGAAAATGTTTGGTGATGTAGACTCATTGGCTTGATGACTATGAGAAGAAAAAGCACTATCAAGAACATATATTTCCTAGTAGATACCAGGGCCCCGAAGACCACTATCTGTGAGGAGGTGCTCAGATCGTTCAATTTGACTATCTCTGACGCAAAGAACCCCATAAAAGTAACATTAAATAAAAGACCAACAAAGGTGGAATTATCACCTAGTGAATCCAACTTCAATGACTTAAATCTCCTTGGTGCTGATTTTCTGGACCTTTATGATGCCCAACTGTTTGCGGACTACGGTGAAAGTTATTTCACTATAAAATTTAAAAACATAACTAATGAAAAGACAGTTACGAATTATACAGCCAATACGACCGATATTAATCCAATTGTTTTTGCTGGGCCTATTTTTATTTTGCTAGTAGTAATTTTAGTGTATTTGTTCGTCAGGTTTAGGAGAAAAAAGACTATGCCTTTCTGTAAATTACAAAACTTGCCCAATCCAGAAAAAAGCCTACCCCTCAGCAACGAGCAAAACAGGAAGCGGAAAAGTAAAAACAACGCCAAGAAGAGAAGAAAAAAAATCCAAGCAAAAGTCTGATTTATTATTATGATTTATTATTATTATTCTGAATTTAATATAATCTCTATCAAACTTTCTTTCACTATTTCCATTATTCTTCCTTCTTCTGCTATTATGTTTTTCTATTGCTATTACTTTTTTAGATACCAAATTTCTTTTTCTTCACTTACTGCTAATTAGCGAATCTTTGAATAAAAAAAAAAAATATATATATAATTGCAAAAGAATAAAGTTCAATTGAGCAAAAAATTTATTTATTATTTTTCATTGATATACAGCAAGTAGTCGTCTAATAAAATGAAAGTAATAAAATAATAGGGAATCGCGCCGGCTTCTAGGCCTTTTACATGGTAGAAATGGTGATTCCTTCTCACTACTCCATACTATTAGCAAAGTTGTCATTATTTTTGTTGCCTAACTATTTATTAATTACTAAATTTTGGATCCTTCCGTCATAATAAAAGCTTTTCAAAGTAACTTTCCCGATAATTCCACAAATTCCATGAATTCATGTCATTCTATATTTATTCGATAACGTAAATGATATAACTACTAGATTGATAAACAAATTTTTTTTAGAACATTATTGAATATGAAGAATTCCTATTCAATGAATTATTTGAATTTTAAGATTTTTTCTCATGTATACTGTATATAGGATATCTATTGAGTATTCTTCAGATAAATGAGTAACTCGTTATTCCCATCTTTTCACTCTCACTTTACAACACAGCTTAACCAACTTCCTCGCTCTATTAAAAATGATATATGGCGACGTCTCACAACTCGGAAATATCCATTGAAAGTTGAAGAGGCGAGTAGTATTCATCCGGTAGTGGAGGAACTGCTAAATCGAGAGGTAGCCAACTACTTGAAGAAAAAGGATCGTCAACGTCTGAAAACAACGGCAAATTCAACACCAGGTGGGAATGATACTCTTAACAGGTTAGTTTTATTCGAGCAGTCTCTTTCTGAACGAGAAAAAGAAATGACTGACCGTGAAAATCTGTTGCATCAACGTGAAGAAGAATATACGAAGAAATTGGAACATGCGAAATTAGAGATTCAGAAAACAATAACCAATAAGATTAAAATGGAAAACAATGTCTATCTTAGTGCTGAATCCCAACGTTGCAAGACGAACATGATAGATTCATAGGTGAATTACAGGAAAATTAGAGGACCAATATAATAACAAAATGCAACATATTACATCTCGTGAAGCTACAATGAATAAATCCATAGAAGAGAAAGACAAAAAAATTGCTCTTTCTAAAGAACTTATTTAGGAGACAAAAAAAACCCTTACGTCTGCAGAAAAAAGTATTAATATGCTGGAAAACAAAATAAGATATTAGAAAAAATTCTCTCTCTCTATGATTTATTTACTTCTTTCGTGCCTAGTCAGGCACTTGATAGCACTATAGAACCAAAAACATATAGTAATGCATATGAAAGAGATAGTTGGTATGATTTACGAAGAGGTGTTGAGAATGACCCAGAGATTCGAAAAAAATATACATTCCGAAAAAATAGTGTTACTCAAGAGCTGTATATACCTTCTAGGAATAGCCCAAGAAGTAATAGGGAGTGGGATAAAACAATAGAAAAAATCCACATTTTTGCTAAGAGTAAAGGTTATAGAGACTCTAGCGGAGCTACGAAGTAAATAAAGGATTTTTCTTCAATGGTCATATTTATTGGTAAGAAATACTAATAAATTGATGATCATATGATTTAACATGAAAATTTTTAATAATGTGATATAGTGCATGGAATATGCTTTCCCAATTACAGCATTATTAAACATGATAGTATTATCTGTTATAATTATAAGAAAAATAATTTTTAAACCGTATTTAATAACAAAATATAACAAAAATAATTAGGGTCAAGTTTTAATAGTTCATTTCGAGAAATTAAAATAATATTAAGTTAAATGTAAAATCTAATCTAACGTTACAAGGTGCCATTTTTAGTGTAACAAACCGTCGGCATCACGTTAAGTATTTATTTTTACCATAATAACCATAATCCTTACCATAATCCTTACCATAATCATAATTATAACTTTTATGATGATAATAATCATAATCATAACTTTTATGATGATAATAATCATAATCATAACTTTTATGATGATAATAATCATAATCATAACTTTTATGATGATAATAATCATAATCATAACTTTTATAATCGTGTCGCTTATTTTTCACTACACGAGAAAAAAATAATGTTATACAATATCCATTATTCACATTAATTCTTATTGAAAAATTACCTTTTCGTTTTACAACCAAAGCTCCTACATTATTTAGTATTAATGTTAAAAGGAAAATTAAGTAAAAGCTGTATCTTACCTGTTGAAACAATAGTAAAGGCAAAGATCAATAACAAATATTTTAAATACATTATTTTTTTTTTCGATTTTGATTTTTATGCGATAAGTATTTTTGAATTGGTTCAAATATTTTTTATTTCTCTTCCCCTGGTCATTATATAACCACGTACTTCAGCAAGTTAAGGCTGTCAACCAATTATTGTTACTAGTATTTCGGCCAGAATTAAGTAAGTGCTTATTTGCTATGATCAAACAATGATGTCCAAGTTTAAGCCTTAAGATTTTGAGGCTGATTTCAATTATTATTGTTGAAGGCGAAGTATAAACGTATAAGACTAATAAGTGTATGTTTGCCACGTTTTACTACACTGCCCAAAATTGGGATAAGCTGTGCCACTCTAAATTAATACATAGCTTGAAAATATGGTGGTCGTTTATAATACGTGTATACCACAATACTAGTGTTAAATTTAGATCAAGGGTCTCATAAAATAAAGGAGATATGAAAGAAGGTCTTCCTATTTTAATAAGAGTTAGTGACATCTTTGGACTCTTCTCTTTCTTATACTGAACTAAAATATGCAAGACGATACCATAGATGTTAAACAGTTTCATCAACTTTGCGAAACTCCAGTTTTATTTTCAACATTACTTTGAACTGAAAGAGTAGGGCTGCATTGTATTAAAAAGTAGGATTATAAATAAATTTTTGTTATTTTTTCTATAAAAAAGGAAGGATTATATAAAAAGAGATATATGAGATAAGAAAGTGGGAAAGAGGCGAAGGGAAGGGAAGGGTAGAGTGAAAAAAAAGAATCATTATGTGAATTAACTGAAAAAAACACGTTACGCGATTTTCTTATAAAATCACCTTTTTCGCATGGAATTTTCTCAAAAAATTTTTTTTTTATTATTAATTATAGAGGAAGAAAATTAGACAAGGAAAGATTTACTACTATTCATGTTCATAAAAAATTTAATGTGCCTAATTGGGGACGTGACAAAAGTCTTATTACTCGTAACATTCAGTTTAATAAGCGTAAAGGTAATGTTAAAATTAATAAATTATATATTTAATTTATTTGATTTGAATACATTTCTAAAATTTATTTAATTTATTTAATTTGATTTAATTTATACATTAGCAAATGTACAGTCTAAGAAAAAAATATAATTCCTGCAAAATGAAAATGTGCAAACTCTAGTAAAAAGACTACAAAAGTTATTACAATTCATTTTGATTCTGATTCTGAGGATGATTGTAATGAAAATACTGAAGATAATAAAAAAAACATTCAAAATAATCTAAATTTCAAAGAACTTGAATATAGAGGAAAAAACTTTGCTTTAAAGGAACGGAAAATTGCTTTAAGGGATATATTACCGCAAATACAAAGTATAATTTGTAATATTGTCCTAAATTTTCAATTTTTTTACCATTTTAAAAAAATTTAAGGAGATTTAAAATTAAACAAAAAAAAATTAAAAATAAAAAAAAATTCGTGTATTAAATAAATTTTAAAAAATTAGTTATTGCAAAATAATTAAATTATACAATACATCTTTCAAATGTTAATAATATACATACTACCGCTTCCAACCCACCCAACTATTATATAATATATCACATGACCTCAGAATTATCATCCAACTCTTCGTTATAACTAAATGTTCTTACAAATTTCTTGTGGGACATCTATAAATTAAAAGGGATGGTTAGCTTTTGCTAAGTACTCTACTTAATAATTTCATCCCACCATCTGGTAGTGACGTGAGGCAGTATCCTTCTAAAGTATCAAGTAACATAACGAAGCAGTCCGGATCTTCTTCCTATATATTAGTGTCGATATTTTCACCGTCCGTTCCTGAAAACTGCACAATAAAAGGTATAGCTACAAGTATCTGTTTGAAAGAACTTACAAAAACACAGCTTTAGGTTATTGTGTCCTTTCTCTGACATCTCTCCTGGACACACAAAGATTTGTTATCATCCAGAAATTCTGAAAACAGAGAAGGACTTTCACAGTAAAACTGTGGCCACGAAGTGCTTCCAGTTCTCTGAATCCAAAAGTCCTCAATGAGAACAAATCAATTGCATGAGTCAAAGTTGAGGAAGGTTCATAACTATTCCTCATTGTGGAACAGTAGACCTCAACACTGAGAAGATCTTATTCGTATCTCAGCCAGGTCCTTCAGTTAACAGAGTTATCATAGATAGACCTGCCAGCTCACAAGGTTGCCATAACTTCCTTGATCATTGCATCCACTTGTTCACCTTCACCAGAAATGAGGGCAGGCAAAGCCCACTCTCTTTAGCAGTTCAACATACCTTTATGTGTCTGAAAGTCTAAAAGAGGTAGCTAATGGAACTGGTCCGCTGACTCCATCACAAAGTTCGAGGCGGAAGTTGGTGAAGCTATTGGAAAAGGCCAGAGAAAAGAAGGTCCGGAAGAAGGACGATGATGAGAAATAATGCGACTTTGCACCCAGTCATTCAAAGTCACATGATTTCGCGTAAAAATTTTTTTCTGATAACAATTGTTTTTCAGGTGCAACGAGTGCTATGAATGCTAAGGGTTTGTTGAATGGGTTCTTGGAATACTGGGCTGGACGACTCCTCCCAAACCAATGGTGTTTAACCTTCCTAAAAATCATTAAAGTTTTTTTTAATATAATTGATCTTTTTAATAAAAATAATATATATATTAATAAATCAAGAAAATTGATGATAATAAATTATACCTTCTTTATAACAATAGAAAGTCTTGATTAATTTGACAAAATTTTTTTTATCGTATCATCACACCTTGGTACGTATATTAGAGACTTTGCTGTAGGTCACGTAACTTTTAAGTTCGTGCTCTCTAGGAATTTCTAAAATTAATATATGTACTCGTTACTTAAAAAAATATATATATATTTCCTTAGACAAACGGTGAAAAGGAAAGTTATAAAAATCGACTATGGGCTAGAGGAAGGGGAAGAGACAACAAAGTGAAGCCGTGAACCTACAAAAGAGAAAGCCAAAACGTAGGTGTCCGGAGAGGCGGGAGAGCCGTGGTCCTAGATAACAATAGTGGAAAAAGGTGAGAGAGAGAAGAGAAAGAAAGTGAGGATAGAGGATTTTTATATTTACATCATAAAAATTTTTCCATAAAAGATGACTCATAATTATATTTGATTGTTACGCGTCGCGTATAATTATAATAGGAAATTTATAATAGGAAATTGTAACTGATCAAAATCACAATTTGAGGTTCCGATTTCCGCAGTCATATTCATTATATTCATTTATAACACTCTTTTTTTTTTCATCTTTTCGTTTGGACACTCCTACAGTAGGGTTTGCTGGGGATTGTATGGTGTATGCGTAATATTTTTTATAGTATGGTAGGGCCGGAGTACTTTATCATTTATATAATAATGAAAATAACAAGATTTTTCAAAATGTGGTTCATTTATTTAGCAATTGTGAATTTTACACGCGAAAAATAAATAGAGCAGATTACTGAAAATTGTCAAGTAATTTTTGGTCCATTTATTATAAGTATTCAACATCCTTTTCAAAAAAAAGAAAAAAATTAGTACAAGTACCGCCCGTTATAACGACATCTCATTATAACTACATATTATAGTACTGTATAATGATATACCATTTTTTGGATTCCTTTGATGTCGTTATATTTTTATAAAACATAATAAATCACATTATAACGACAATTAGAAAAATTACTAATGGCCCGAAGAGTGTCGTATTTGATATTTCCATATGCAATTGGCAACAACTGCAAATATCATCATTTGTATAATAGTATTAATGTATTCAATAACTAATGCTAGTCAGCCCAAATGATATCAAAAATTTTATATTTTCATGTAAATTATGTAACTAAAAAAAAAATAAAAGTCAAAACTTCAGAGGTGACAAGTATTAAAAGAATTCACAAATATCAACAATAATAAGCATTATTTTTGTCATGAATCACCGAATGATTAATAATCGTACTCTAGTGCAGGAACTACTTTACAAAAAGCACTTAATGTGGAGTTATAAGATCTTAAAACTTAATTATATTTTTTCGGAGATAATATGTAAAAAAGCTTCGTTTATATAAATATGAAGTACGGCGGTGCGATTGTCACGTGTTATTTTTTTTCTTCCTGTGTTTAATTATTTCGCAGATCATCACCTAATCGTATATTGACACGTCATATGATATGATGGAATAAATTACAGGTCAACAGGCAACAGTGCGGCAGACAGTGCGGCAAACTTTATCTATTTATAGCTGGAACTTTCAGCTCGGTACTTTCCGTTTTGGAAAACCGGCCAGATTTGGGACATAAGGATATAAGGCGTTAGCTTCTTTAATTTTAAATACCAAATTTGAGCAAAATGATAAACGATCATCTGATCAGAAAAATTACAAATTATGAAGTTGTATCACCATATAATACTTTTGTTTGCAAAACTTGGTCATATCCCAATTCTTTTCTCTTCGGATGAAAAAAAAAAGTTTCATTATGGCCACAAGAATACCTCCAGAAATTTTACATACAATTTTTAAAGAGTTGGAGAATCATCATTTATCAAAATATATACTTGTTTCAAAATATTGGTGTTCAAATATTTTACCAATATTATGGAGTAATCCTTTGGAAAAAATGTATTGGCAATATCATTATCGAATAATTGAAGTATACATTTCATGTCTGAATAAAGAATCAAAACAAATTTTAAGAGAACATAATATCATACACGAAGCGACAAAAGAGAGTTTTAGTGCTACGTATGATTATACACAATATTTAAGAGAAGTTGAGTTTAACGGATTATATGAAGCATGTGGAAATTGGTTACATCTTATTAGTGATAATGATTTAAATCCTTCATATAATAATAACGAAGAAGAAGAAGAAGATGATGATGATGAAAATCATGATGATGGAGAAGATTTTGCTACAAGGTTATTTAACAAATGTTTTCATTATGCTAGATTTAGTGAAAGTAGATTATCTGATTCGATTAAAAAATCAAAAAAAGATAATATTTATGATAAGCAATTACAAAGTAGAATAATATTTAAAGAAGTATTAAAATTATTCGTGGAAAATCGTTTAATACGTTATAAATTAATTATTCAAAGCGGATTTTACTCATTTAATCATTTATCCGTCATTCCAGAAATTATTCCTAACGGATCACATTTAGATTTTATGAGAATTAATAGTAATAATCAACATTCTGTTTTGGAAAGTTTAAGTCCAACGTTCACATCTATTGATAAATTGACTATCAAGTGTGATGATGATGATGATGGTTTAGCTTCGTATTTAATAAATGGATTACCAACTATCAACTTCTTGAAGATTCATATGACAAATAAAGATATGCCGAAATTATCTAATTCTATAAATGAAGTCTTAATTAAAAATAAGGATAGCTTGATTCATCTTTGGCTAAAACAAGGGGGTAATTGTTTTAATTTAGATATATTTAAACAATGTAAGAATTTAAAAACATTGAGGATAACCGATTCACATTTATCAGATGCGAAAAATATGAAACCTTCATTTTGGACTGAAGATACTTTAATTCCTTTTATATCATCGTCTCCTACTAATTCATTAAATAGATTAACGGAATTTAGTTTAAGTATTGACGCCAGCGTAAATTTGATTCATCTTTCAACAATTATTCAAAATACTTGTGGACTTTTAGAATATTTGTTTTTAAAATGGGAAATTGAACAAGATTCTCAAAATTCTTGTTTATTATTTCAAAGTATCCTTGAAAATTGTCAAAAATTAAGTGGAATTTTTATTACTACTTCTATTGATACTATTAAATTTATACCAAGATTTTTAATGGAATGTTCAAAATTAAAATATTTAGGTGTAGATTGTTTAAGAAAAGATAATTTAGATCTTACAGATTGGTTACCTAAAATTGGTATGGCGATTCGTAATAGAAATAATAATGATTCTTTGACTCAAATCGAATTATTAGGTTTTTATTTTAAATTCATATCTAGTGTTAAATCTTTTAATGAATTCTTGGATGATTGTTCTTCTAATAATGGTGATAAATGTGAAAAAGATGATCTGTTAGAACTATATTTTCATAATGCTATTGATTGGATGAATGAAGAAAAAATTATTTTATTAAGACAATATGCTAACTCTGACAAAATTCAATGTTCTTTAAGTGAAATTGATGAAATTGTGCTTTATAATATTGAAAACAATATTCTGTAGGATTAGACCATTTTTTTTTTAATAAAAAAATAAGTACGTAATTTTTTTTTTTCTAAAAAAAAAAAATAGATTTAATGCGTTGATTATCATGTGGGTTATATTATACAGTACGCTGTAGTCACTATTAAGACGGACTTTCAAGCATGTATAGTTATTTGTACGATCAGCAGCTCAAGACACAGATCAAACGAAGAACTATACCATATTAATAAAAAGGAAGTGTTCGAGTCAAAAATGTTAAAACATCTATCACTGACTTCAGAACTTTAGCCAAATTTAATCAAGTGTTAAATCGCAAATCCAAAGTGGAAGTCTATACGCACGTTGGATCCCGCATCAAGAGCAAAAACATCCTCACCATAGATATGCTTTCGACCTCAAAGGCCAGATTGATCACTTACACAAAGTTTAAAGTACTCTTTGCCACTTTACCCGCTATTACATAGTTTTTCTACGAGAAATCTCGCACATTTTTAACACGTTCATCTTCAACATCTCGAATAGAACAAAAGGTCGAATTAATTATTACAAATATTGTAATATCATTTAAATTTTAATCTTATCAATCTTATTATTAAATTCAGAACATGCCCTTTTATGTTTCTAACCGACTTTCAAGATAACATTATCATAGGTCATCAGAAATCAAAATTACAACCTCAACAGTCCAGAGCGCAACCACCAGATAGTTGGATCAGATGGATCCACAACCAAATAGAATTCGGGCGCACACCACTTTGCACCTTTTTATTTCACCCGACCGGATGGGCTAAAGACGTATCCGCTCCACCGACTCTTCTCATTCCAAGATGCGGGTTAATATATCAGACTTGAACAGTTTGATGGTGCTAACTTGATACGCATATATTGTATAACGAGTCGCTACTATAGCCTAATTTTTCCTTATTAGTTTTATTAGTCGACCCTTGGCTCCAATAAGGAAGGTCAAGTTGAATACTTTTGCGATAGATGGTGAAGAGATGTTATCCATGGAAATAGTCTAGTTTTTATTTAGTACTATGGATATTTCTTTTACATTAATTAGTATATTATATTCAACATATTTTGTAATATTTTACTATAGCAAACTTTGCTATATGTATTCCTATATATAATAAAAAAATTTTTTGCAATTGTTATCGATCCTATGCTTTTTTTGCAACTTTTGTGTCATGTACTAGTAGTATATTAGTTATTTGACATGCCATCTTGTCTATGCGCGTTCAAAGTATTGTCAAAATTTTCATACAATAACGATAAAATTCAGTTGATGAGCCGTTCAAAATCCTACCGATCAGAATCCCATTACAACACATAATCCCGTTTACAAATTTAAAATTCCGAAACTACGACATTAAATCTTTTTATTAATATATAATAATAATTTCTGCGAATATTAATGTTTTATTGTAAAAAAATTAATATTTATTATTAATGTTTAATAATTTTGCAAAAATTCAGCACTTGACATTAAAAAACAAATCCATTCTTTGAAATACTAAATTAAATTGATATGTTCATTATAATATAATTATCAAGAGGATAATAAGTTTGGGATAATGTGTCGAATGTCGATCGGGATAATGAATGTCGAGAATAATGTGATTTCAGGATTTTGAATTTTTGGGATTATGATTTTGTTAGGATTTGTGAGTGCGCCGGATATGTGTTGTAACAGGATTGGACTTTCGTAGTAGTAAACTCTAAAAGTTGAATAAATTCAATGACGGTACACGTTTAATTATTGTTAAAAAGTCGGACATAAGATTAAATTTTCAGAATTGTCAAGATCATGACGGTTACGGCACGATTTCTCGATACGAGTATACGACGTAACCTTTTCCTGACAACGATTTCCTGACAAGTCAAAATCCCGAATGGACATTTTCCTGAAATTACTTTTTCCCAACATGGTATTATCTCAACGAAAATATATCCCGAAAGACATTGACATAACATTTTCCCGAAATCTAAATTACGAAAAATGATTCTTTGATTTTACTAAAAAAAAATACTTGACTCTTATATAATAAATATATTTTACCGCGTAATTTATCTAATTTATATTGTATTTTTTAAAAAAAAATCTTTTTTTGAACATAAGTATAAAATTACGTAATTTATATTAAGTTCAAATTTGATAATATGAAAACACATGATATATCTGCTGTCTGATCATGTGCACGTTTTAATTGAAACTAAACATTCTTCAAAATTTTGATTTTCGGGAAATGTCATGTCGGGAAATCGTTGTCGGGAAAAGGTTACGTCAGGAAAATGGATGTTGGGAATCGGTCCGACAACGATCATGATCAATGACAAAGTAAAGAATAATGAATTAATAGAATCAAGACTTTTATTTATTATAACAATTTTTTTTTTAAAAAAAATACAAAATTTTTTAAATATGTATACATCATAAAATTATCTCTTATTATTGCAAATATTTTCTTAAATTATTCTTGCAAAATTTTGTTTCTTTTTTTTTTAAAAGCAAAATAATCTGACGGTTAAAAATCGCTAAAACTTGATAATGTTAAAAAGTAATTGAAGTTATTATTTATGATAGATGATCCTTTATCTATGCATATTGTATATCATGTAATGGTATAAAGTATATACGTATCATGAATTTTTCTTCAGAATTCATTGTTTTAATTAAAGATCTCAATTTTTAACATGAACAGATAGTAAACACTGAATGAAATAGGATATCTCAATGCATATATTTTAATACCCAACTTAATTATAATTGTAAACTACTTTTAAGCATTGAAGCCTTCGTAATTAATAGTCCAATTTTTAACAATTAAGATATACAGTATATCATATCAAGAATTATAAGATACAGATATGGAATTAGATTTTATCATATTGACTTTAAACAGAACAATTTATAATTTAAAACATTGATTCTGAACAAAATAATTTCATAGAAGCTTGTTTTATTTTATATAATTTAATATTGATTTCAATTGGAGTGATAAATGTAAATCTTATTAAATGCCCTTATATCATCTTAACTTTTCGCGTTAATAAGAAATATTTGCTATTTGAAGTACCTGATTTCATCTTCTCCAGTTTCTTTTTGATCTATGGTTTCAATTTGATCACTTATCCTGGAAGGAAGTGTTGGATTTTGGCCGTACCCTATAAAAAATTTTTATCCGAATATTTCCATTATTTCTCCGTGTCTTCCGTAAAAATTCCGTGAAAATGATACATTCACGGATATCCGTGTTAGCGAGATGAAAATTTCCATGATTTAAGGCTATAAATTCCATTAAAATGATACATTCACGGAAAAAATATGGAAAGATAAAACACGGATCAGATTTTTTACAGGGGTACAATCTGCTACTGCGGAAGAAACTTCTATAAAGATATTATTTTTCAACATGGTTGCCCCGCAAAATTATTGTCAGATAGAGGAACCCATTTTAATAATCAAATGGTTGAGAAGCTCTTAGAAAAATTTGGAATTAAACAACTCCTTATAATTCACAAACAAATGGTTTAGTTGAACGATTTAACCATACCTTATGCGAACGGCCGAAGGATTTTTTGGCATTTGACCACGGCTAAACAACTAAATAGCCAAAATCGGCCAAGGCCAAATTTATGGCCAAAAGTACTAGTACCTATTAGTACCGTATTTTGCGGACCACAGTAACAGTACCCCCCATGCACTGTACCCTACAATAAACAACTCCCATTTTCTGGCGATCTTATTAACCAAATAAATATAATAAATATCTCAGGTGTTACATGATAAGACATTAATTGTTATATAAGTTTCAAACTTCCTCATTAATAATAAAAACTCGCGTAAAAGGTCAAACCTCGAAACTTGTATCATACCCGGGGTATTAAAGCTCCCCTTATGGCCTCACGGCCAAGCCCGGCATTATAAATTTGCCAAAGATTTTTTTTGGCTATTTTCCATGGCCAAACAGCTAAATGACCAAAACGCCAAAACGCCAAATTTATGGCCAAAAGTACTAGTACCTATTAGTACCGTATTTTGCGGACTACAGTAACAGTACCCCCCCTGTTACTGTACTCTACAAAAAACAACTTCCATTTTCTAGCAATCTTATTAACTAAATAAATATAATAAATATCTTAGGTGTTACATGATAAAACATTAATTGTTATATAAGTTTCATACTTCCTCATTAATAATAAAAACTCGCGTAAAAGGTCAAACCTCGAAACTTGTATCATACCCGGGGTATTAAAGCTCCCCTTATGGCCTTACGGCCAAGCCCGGCATTATAAATTTGCCAAAGATTTTTTTTGGCCATTTACCATGGCCAAACAGATAAATGACCAAATCGCCAAATCGCCCAAAAGTACTAGTACCTATTAGTACCGTATTTTGCGGACCACAGTAACAGTACCCCCCTGTGTACTGCACTCTACAAAAAACAACTTCCATTTTCTGGCGATCTTATTAACTAAATAAATATAATAAATATCTCAGATGTATAAGACATTAATATAAATTTCAAACTTCCTTCATTAATAGCAAAACCTCGCGCAGTAGATAGAGGAGATGTAAACGTCCGAAACTTGAATCATACCCGGGGTATTAAAGCTCCCCTTATGGCCTCACGGCCAAGCCCGGCGTTATAAATTTGCCAAATATTTTTTTTGGCCATTTACCATGGCCAAACAGCTAAATGACCAAATCGCCAAATCGCCAAATTTATGGCCAAAGGTACTAGTACCTATTAGTACCGTATTTTGCGGACTACAGTGACAGTACCCCCTGTGCACTGTACTCTACAAAAAACAACTTCCATTTTCTGGCAATCTTATTAACTAAATAAATATAATAAACATCTCTTACATGTATAAGACATCAATTATTATATAAGTTTCAAACTTCCTTCATTAATAATAAAAACTCGCGCAGTAGAAGAAACGTCCGAAACTTGAATCATACCCGGGGTATTAAAGCTCCCCTTATGACCGCAGTCAATGACGTAATGGCCACGGCCAAGCCCGGAATTAAAGATTTTTTTTGGTCATTTGACCACGGCCTAAACAGCTAAATAGCCAAAACGCCAAATCGGTCAAGATCAAATTTATGACCAAAAGTACTAATACCTATTAGTACCGTATTTTGCGGACCAAAGTACCCCAATGCACTGTACCCTGCAAAAAACTCTCATTTTCTGGCGATCTTATAAATAAACATCTCAGGTGTTACATGAATAAGACAATAAAACTCACGAAGTAGGGGGGAGGGAGATGTAAGGGTCAAACCTGTATGGATCATACCCAGGGTACTAAAGCTCCCTTATACGGTAGTGATTGGAATTTTGGCCGCGGACAATGGCCACGGCCAAGCCCGGCATTATAGATTGGCAAATATTTTTTTTGGCGCCAATGGACAAACAGTCCAGACAACGGTCAAAGCCGGCCAATGACCAACACTGCTGTGTTGGGGGGTGTTTCACAGAATTGGGACTTAACGATCACATATAATGGTAATATGACAAAATTGTGCACATGCATTAATTCATGCAAAGCACTGCATAACCTTCATTATCAGTAGATAAGATTTCGAAATAAAAGACGAGTACTTACGTTATAAGGATAGTATTATGTTATAGGGTAAACGTAATAGAGTAATTATGATAGTACAAAAATTATAAGTTAGAATATTTCATGGCAATAAAATTTTTCGCCACAATCAATATCAAATCTTTTGTATTGTACAATCAGTGAATCTTGATGGTTGGTTTTCTCTCACTGAACTGAATCACGAAGTTTAGTAGACAAAATAAAGTTAAATATATTTAGAAAAATTAGAAAAATTCCATTTTTTCAAACAATGAATGAGAAGAAATGTCACTACGTTGAATATGTTGATTAGTCAAAATTTACGAATTGATTTCCTGGTGTAAACACTAAAAGATACTGTACACCGTTTAATTCTTGTAAAAAAAAGGAGGCTTTCATTATGATAAAATTACGCGATATTTGAAAAAATTCCTGTTTCCTACTATTTGGGATCTTTTTTTTATTATTATTATTATTTAATTGTTAAATAAACTGAGAACGCGCTCCTATGGTTATACACCTGTGAAAATACAAATATATATAACAAGAACCCTATCTAAAAAAAAAGGCGCCTACATTTAATACGAACAATTTGGGACACCATTTGGGACACTATTTAGGAACTATTTTGGATACTTTTACAAACTATTTTGGATACTATTAGAAACTATTTGTGATACTATTTAGGAACTATTGGGGATTACTATTTAAGAACTATTGGGGATTACTATTTAGGATCTATTTGGGATACTATTTAGGATGACTATTTAGGATCTATTTGGGATACCATTTTAGAAAACTATTTGGGATAGTTATAAAATTTCATAATAGGATTCATCTCCGTACGAACAGTTATTTCTATTATTGACAAGTGAGGCTTATAAAATTAAGTGGAACAATCTCAAAGAAACGAGATGAGATATTAAAGTAACTAATAAAAAAACCATGTTGGAAATTTCCTTTTTTAGTTATTTTGAAAGGGTTTTTATAAAACAATAGTAACATGCAAATTGTTTTTTATTATTATTAAAGGAGATTTGATAAAAAGATTTCCGTGGTAATAATAACAAGAATAACAAGAATAATATGGTTATATGAGACACAAATATCTATATCAACATTTTATAATCGAACGAATATATTTAATTACCGATTTATTGAAGCAAAAAAAAAATCATGATTTAATTTGATATATAAGGAAAAAAAAAGCAGGGGCTTAAATCGGCTCAATCGGCTCAATAGCCCCCAAAAAAAAGCAAAATAAAAAAGCAAAAATAAAAAAGTAAAATAAAAAAAAAAAGTAAAAATAAATAATTGGACAAATTATTTATTTTTTATTAAAAATTTTTCCGGAAATCACCTTATATGCGGGAATAATTAAAATAATTATTATCTAAGCTGCGAATCAAATTTCCAAAATCTTGTATTGGTTTTTAAATGTATATCATTAAAAAGATTGTCAAATAAAATTATAAATAAAGCATATATTTAAGAAATTCTTTATATATGAATGTTTTTTTTTACGTAACCTGCATAAAAAAAATATAGCGAAGTTTTTAGTGTTTAAATACTTAGATTAAGGGGTAAAATGTAAAATGTTTCAAATGGTTCACGCTTTTTTATATATCCTTTTTTATTATTTTTATTTTTTTTTTTTCAAGAAAGGGGTTTTTCATATTTGTCATATTTGTCCATTTGTTACCATTATAAGACATATATGCAAATTACGTGAAATTTTAAAATAATAATGGGAATTTATCCGTTAATATTAAAAATATTAAAAGTATTTGTTTTGATTATCGTTATCAATGGTTGAAAAAAAAGGGCTCAACAATGAAATCAAAATATTCATTGTAAAGATAATTCGGGTAAATAGGTAAATATTATGGAAGGGCGGGACGGACCGAAAGACTAGAACAATCCAAAATAATCCAAAATAATCCAAAATAATCAAAATAATCAAAATATGAAATTCAAAATAAAGCCCCTTGGACTATATATCATTATAGGAATGTTGATTATTTATTTACAATATATTATTTTAAAGACAAAAAAAGTAAGTGTTGAAAGGAGATGATCTTAATTAAAAATAGGATTTTATAATATCATTATTTTACATTTATTTATTTTCATATTATTTCTGAAAATGGTAATGGAAAGAATATTCTCTCCATTTGATTTAGTTTCGGTAAAATATTGTCTCCCATTTGTAAATCCCAAAATCCTTATTCTAAATGACTAAAATCCTTATTTTGTGTTCCTTTCCCCACCCTCTAATCTTTTTAACAAACAAATTCCTATTTACAAAGTTTTAGATATTGAAATTTGTAAAAAAAAAAAAATTTTTGGAAATTAATAATTAATATAATATATACTTTTGTTCGAAAGGACAATTTTTATTATTATTATTATTTCATTTCCACCTTTTTTTTTTTTTTTACCCGATATCTCCATATAAGAAATATCAA